CACTTTCTAAGCTTCTTGATGAGCATGATTTTCTCCTTGGCCTCACTTTTAAGCAGGTCCTTCAAATTCCTGATCTCTTTGTTAAGCATGCACATCTCAACCTCGTAATGCTTCGAAATGTCTAGGCATTGCTTATCAACCAGAGTGGTGTGCTTTTTGTTCAGTACCTGCTTCACAGTAGCAGCTGCATCCTGTTTGCACTTGTCAATTTCGTCCAATACTACCTGGTACTGCTTTTTCAACTTGTCCAATTCGCTATCCTTGCTACTTATTTTGTGATTCAGTTTGTTGACTTTATTTTTATATATATTAATGTCCTTCTCATAATTAGCAATTTTTTTTCCTTGTTCAGCTATTTTAAGATTTAAGTTTGTCCTTTCCTTAATGTCTTTCTTTTTCACAAGTTCGTTCTTTTGCAGCACTTCTATTTTCAATTTTTCATTCTCTTCATTCAGATTCTCTATCTTCTTTTCATATTCGTTCAGCTTGTTTATTTCTCCTAACAAGGAGTTCATTTTTTTATTTTTCGCATTATTTTCATTCGTCAACAAGTAAATTATATCTATACAATTATACAGGACATTTTTCCATTTCACTTGATTCTTTTCTTTGTCTTCTTTTGGCAATTTTATTTTTTTTTTTATTTTATTCAATTTGAGATGATTATTCAGCTTCTCAATTTCGTTAACATCTTCTTCATCCAGCATAACAGTTTCTTTGTTCGGTTCCCTTCCCATGTGTTGACTGCCCTGTGATGATTGAACCTCGTCTCCATATTGTTTACCTATGGTTTGATTCACTCCGTTGTTACAAATAAGAGTGCTGTTCTTCTCTCTCAGCTCCCCTGCGCCCCCTTCAACTGGCGCGACATCTTCGTCTATCCCCCCCTGGTCACGCTTCGATGCATGACTCAAATTTGGCTCCCTTTCAACTTCGCCCAGAACATCCTTGCTGTCTATGTCCGTATTGCCCCTCCTACTCAGCAACCTCTCAACAACGTCATTTATGCTGTCCTTTATTTTTTCCCTGATCAGTTCTGCCAGTACGTCTTCATTAATGCGGTTGGTGGAGACGTCCCCAGGCACTGCACACGCAGAGTGTTGCGTCTGGTGTGATATGGGCCCGAAGTGTTTGTTAGCAGCACTACTATCGATGCGTCCCTGCGAACTGCCAAATATCAACCCCCGTATATCATTCGCATTGACGCTACCAAAGCTGCTATTTATGTAGTCGAACCAATACTGCCTCAAGTCACGCCCGTCCATGACTTCCCTCCTCCTGTCAGAAACGTAACCCTCTCCAGAGATTATCCTAACCGTGTTGTCGGTATTTCTTGATTCGGAGAAATCACTGCTCTCTTTCCCTCCGAAATCGGCAGTCTCGCCTAACTTGTTCAAACCACTTTTGCTCCCCACAGGAAGTAATTCCCTCCCCACAAAGGAACCATTATAAAAACTCATTCCATTGCCCTCATCCATATGCGCATTCGTCATTCCATCAGCAGGTATAATGGCATTGGCGTGTTTACTGGCCACACTTCTATGCATTACACTCCCTTCTTCACAATTACCCATGTGTGCTTTCTCAAAGAAGGATGGCAATTCATGTGATTTGTTTATGTCCACAAAGCCCACAACACCATCGTACGTATGCTTATTAACACCTCCAATATCTACGGTGATGTTTTTTTTTTTCTTAACCGCATTTGCATAATTTGGTCTTCTCTCCCCTACATCGTTATAATGACTACTCCTCAGATATACATGTTCAGAACTATTGGAGAAGTTTTTTTTTTTCTCTCTGCCTTCGATTGAGTATTTGCTGGTGTTGTGAAGAACATCCCTCTCATCATCGCTATGCTTGTGCAAATTGCTCAATTTGGTGAAAATGATTCCGTTTTTCGCGTTGGACAGATCGCTTCCACGTATTATTGTTCCCTCCTCCGAATCCATCTCTTTCATAGTGTTATAGCTCCTTTCATTATTGTAATTGACATTCTTGCTCACCTCTGTGTGGTCACCAGCGTTTATGTTATGCTCACTTTTGCTCCATCTGCTATGGTTCTCTTCCTCGTGGCTAGCTAAATTTACAGTGCTCCTTTTTAAAGAATTAAAACGAACAGGAGGGTTATCAACCCCCGTGCTGTATTCACGAACATACACATCTGTGTGTGGGTCCTTATCAAACTTGTTTACCAAACTGGTGCTTTTTTTTATATCCCCAAAACTGGCACTCCTATGAATTGCAAATTGGTCTATTTGGTTAATTCCTGTTTGAGACCTTTGCAACATCATGGAGTTAACCACCAAATTGTTTTTGCTTACATCAAAGGGTCTGTCATCATGGGTATCTACCTTACCATTCCATGGGCTGGCATATTGGTAGTCTCCTCCCCTGTGCAACGCGCCTTCCCCAAAGGAGACCTCGTGGACGCCTGGCTTCTCCATTATTGAATTAGCTAGCGACATGTCTCTTAACATCAAACTTCTTCCCAAATCACACCCGTGGGGTAACGCGTCACTTACATGCTTCATCATCTGTAGCGGCATGGTTCTCTCCCTGTCACACTGCTTGGACTCGGCGAACAGGTTTTCCCGAAACGATTTCGTATTTATTATATGAAATTGATTTGAACAAAATATATTGTCATTAAAACTGACGTTATTGTTTGAGACAAAATTGCCCAAAAAATTTACGCCTCTATTCTCTGCAATCCTTCCAGTAGTGGTTGCACTACCTTTTCCAATTTCATCTCGTCCATATTTTCCCCTCATTATTTCATTGTATTCCTCTTTAGTCTTTACAAAATTGTACTTTTGCGATGTGGAAGCCTTCAGAAGGGTCCCACTCTCTCCTCCTCCTCCTCCTCCTCCGCCCCCTCCATTGTAGCTCCTTCTATATTTAGTATCATCCCCTTGGTTAGAGACCATACTTTTAAATTTATCCAAATGGGAAACAGCACTCACTTCTTCCTCCGTAACAAAATGGCTATCCCTTTTTTTGTCCTGTTCTCCTTTCGAAATTAAGTCTTCAATTATTTGTGGATTCTCGCTTGGTGGCAAATAACTGCCACTACCCTTTTCAGCCTCCGCCCCAGGGTGGACAACTCCACCTTTTTCATCATCACAAGGATAATGTACATTTCCCTCCTGCTCAAGTCCATTTTTGCTCGTCTTTCCAGCCAAATAATATGTAATAAATGGTGTGTTCGTCCCCTCTTCATCTTTGTCCTCTTTCAAATTAGCAGGAGTCTCCAGTTCGCTCATATTCATCTTCCCAGCTGTTTCGAACTTTAAATAATCAAAATAGCTCTTCGAGAAACTTTTACTTGGAGTTTTATTTAAATCTACATCGTTTAGGTACATCTTATTTAAGTTTGCAAAAATTTCTTCCTTGTTTTCATCATACCCTTTATGAAATTCCCCTTCCACATCCTCACCGTCGTGAAGAATCCTGCCGTCCTCATCCCCTTTACTTCTTATCTCTCTCAAAAGGACCTCTGTACTGGGAGTCTTATATATGTTCTTTAAGTTACCCCCAAGGATATCCTCTCCGTAACCTACGTTCCCTTCTTCCCCATTATGCTGATGGTATGGACTACTACTCTTTTCTTTTCCCTCTACGTTTAAATGCTCCAACAATTTTGACGCTCCTAATGGACTCCTTTTTGTATCATCAAAGGTGGATAAATTGATGCAACTTTTAATGTTCCCCTTTTTTAATTTTTCATCATAGGAAAAAATATCCTTAATAGAATCCTTTGTGAAACTTTTCTTCCCTAAGCTATATCTGTCTTGTGTGTAATTTCTGCCCAACTTCAGCTCTCTGTCCTCATCCAACATGTTTGCATCACTATGCCTTATCAGATATTTATTCACATCCTCAAGTTGGTAGCTGCTTCTCCTTTCTTCATTGTCACTTTTTTCTTCCAATTCAAAGTACCCTTCATCATTTCCGCGTCTGCTTCCTTCGGTGTGTTCTTCCTTTTCATTTCGAACTGTTGGGTTATATTGGGGGGAGGACGCCTCATTCTGGCTCCGCTTATCGTTCTCCTCGTTGATTAACTTATTCTTTCGCCTCTTCAAAATATCATCAATCTTTGTGCTGGTCTTGCACTTGATGTACTGTAACGAGCTGCTGCCTTTGTCTTGGAAAAAGTCATCATCACTCATTGTTCACGCTTTGTACCACACGACACAAATTTATTCTTTTCATTTCATTTCATCGGAGTGGGCAAGAAAAGGTATAGTAATAACACTTGCAGGATCCTTGCAGATTAAACCTTCACAATAACGTGACGAAGGTAGGTACCTAGCTAAACCGACGGACTTACTCATCAAACGTTTACTTCTCCCTTCCAACACATAAGACACAAAACCCTTCCGTTCTGTTATTCGTAGAGAAAGTTTTGCTTCAAAATGAAATGTTAAAACTGCGTCGGGTGGCTTAAATTTTTTATTTTATTTTGACCTTCCTCGCACAAGGGTAGCTATCTCTTCCCCGTATTGCCTAATGTACCTGGAGTAGCTCCTTGCGATGCTGCTTAAACTTACCACTGGTTTTTGCAGCACCCTTCGCACTCCGTCAAAGCTTACAACCAAAAAAGAATCATGTCAAACGGGGGGGGGCTAATGCGCAAAAGGAAGTATACTAAACAAATGGGGCATATTTTCGTTTCCCCCATAAAATGAAAAATATATAATTATCTTCTCGTGTGAGCCACTTATACATTTGAGACTGCTCTCATGGGACTACCACCTCTTCAGAGTGGTCTTTTTGTCCTTTTTTCCCCGCACAGAAGCAACCCGTTTATGGTCCACTTTTCTACGTCGATTACGCCAAAAATAAGAAAGGGACAAGGGTGGCCTCACAAATATTGATGAGGGAAAAAAGTGGCAATGTTACAAATAGGAAAGGCAAAACAAAAGCAGCTAAAAACTCTGCTTCGTCTCCTCCTTTTTTTAAAAAGGGAGTCAAGTCAAATAGGTGTTTATTCCAGCCGTACACACATAAAAAGTGCGCACAATACGGATGTAGAGCGAATTTGTTTTCCTCATACACGTACCAAATTCCGCGCAGATTCACCAACATGTGCGCATTTCGTCCATCCAGTCTGATGCTTGAAAAATCATCTGGACTTGTTCCTCAGATCAATTATGAATGCATTTTTTTAAAATGGAAATAAATGCAAATGAGGCATACGAAAAAATGCGCAAAAAAAAAAAAAAAAAAAAATCAAAAATAATAATTGCGCAATATTTGTAATTTGTTTTAATTCAAAAAGCCTAGCATACGCAAAAAAAAAAAAAAAAAAAAAAAAAGGGAAAAAGAAAAATTAAATTGAAAATGTGAAATCCGGGAAAATTAAAAAGGGAAATATGTCACACTACACAGAAAAGGGAAAAATGCAAATAGGGGAAAACCCTCGGAGCTTAAAATTAAAAAAAAATTAGGAACCTTTAAGAAGCGAGCACGACCCATGGGCTACCCTGTTCACCAATATTGCCAAACTAAACGTCTCTGAAAAAGTAGACATTTTCCCCTTTGCAAAAATGTAAACTTTTTACATACCCCCCGGAAGCATTGGCACCATATATCTACCATCGCAGAGTGTCCCTAATGCCACACTACTCAGAGCGCTTATCGTACTACGTTATTGTTGAGGAAACAAGAAAAAAAAAAAAAGGAAAACCATTTATGAACGAACAGAATGCTTCATTCCTCATAGTGTGTTAAATAGGAAGCATTTTTCTGGGAAAAACAAAAATAAATAAATTACTATTTTTGCTCCTCACCCCTGGCGACGTCAGCCTCCTCTCCGCACACAGTCACCTATACACTTTCAGACATTTCCTCCCCTTAAGATTATTCAAAAGTTAATTTACAATTGTTGAAGTAGCCAAGCCGCGTGCAACGGCGTAAAAATACGTTACAGCCAGGGGACTATAAATGGACAGCATGTTTAAACGGCCAAAAAAAAAAAAAAAAATGCAAAGGGGGGGAGGTGCACACAGAAAGATGAATGTTGGCGTATGTGCCTTACCATGTATTCGTTTGTGCGCACCTAGGCAAGGCCAAACAGGTGGACCCCTTCCCTTCCCCCAGTGGAAAAAAAAAAAAAAAAAAAAAAAAATACGCCTCATCGGAGGAACCCGCCCCATCCTTAGCAGCGCAAAATTATTACATAGTGTGTACCACCTCAGTCGTCCTTCTGACCAATATACTGAATGAGGATGGGCCTCGAGAAATTGTCCCCATAGGAATTCAGCTGGTCCGCAAGCATGGGCTTCTGCACTATGTTTATGTACCCCAAATTTGCCAAGTGCAAAGTGATATAAAACAAAACAGCTACTTCATCCTTGGATTGTCTACCCTTGGTAATGAGGTCGAAAAAGATGTAGTTAATTTTTGTCGATAAATTCTTATACACCTCCAGCAACTCCTTGGCAATTAAGTCAAAGTCCTGGTTCAAATTTATCTCCACTGGCCCACACTTATCATCCAGCACTGAACAGCTGTCATTGTCCTTGGTGAAAACATTAGAGAAATCATAATTCGAGTTGATAGACAAATCTAGGAGGGGGGATCCCGAAGAGGAAGTGAATTCAGCATTGAGTCGATCATGTAGGAAATTTCCATTCACTTCTAATTCGTCCATTTTTTCTACACTACCGTTTTCTCCGTAAGCCACCAAACTTTTCGACATCTGACTATCCAGGTTCAATCTAGAACCCATGTCGTCCTTAAAAGACAGATCCCTATCATGCAAATCGTTAATACTCAACTCTTTAATATTCAGGTCGTTCAAATTTAGGTCTATGTGCTCCTGCTGTGATAGAGATGGATCTATGCTGAACCTATTTTTGTACTCATTCGTGTGGTTCTCATTTGGTAGGTCAAATGGCATTCCATCCATTTGCTCTCGCACCTCCTCGAAATGCATCATATTTGTGTCACTCTTCATAGTCCCTACTTCGTGCTCCCCGTCAAATGATAAGAAATGATTCGACAGAGTCTCGTGCTCGTTCGATGCCATACTATCGTCGATATTATCCAGGCATTTTTTTATATTAAAATGATCAAACACGTTTTTATTTTCATATAAAAAGGACTTGTTACCCACTGAGCAAGTTAAATAATTTTCGAGCGTTTTTTTCTTCTTCTCCAAATCCTGAGATTCGTACCCAAAATTTATTTCCAACTTATGCACACTTCTCACCTTATCGGTGCTGTTGTGCAGGAAGAAATGTTGAAAGGACGGATAGTCCTTCTGCATCTTTTCATTTATTTCGTTATTTATTGTTTCGATAAGAAAATGTTTGTAGTCTACACTTTCGTGCTTCAACATCCCCTTCATCACTGCATCCTTTATCATATAATTTTTATCAATAATGTGTTTTTCTAATTTTCTTTTCTTCCCTACCAGCTGCATGGTGGTAGAGCCATTCAGGGTAGAACCTGCCTCCTTGTTCTTCTCCCCCTCATCATTCAGAACTATTTGGTTATTTCCATATTTGTCATTTTCTCCCGTGTTGGAGGAGTCGCCCATCTGTCCCCCCTGTCCAGATCCCTTATTTGCATTATCTCTGTGGGATAAATACACACCATCCTCTTCTTCCCCTTCTTCTGCGCCTTCTTTCCCATCGTTCCTTCCGCCCTCTTTTTCATCATCATCATCATCTAACCCTAGCAAGGTATTCAACTTCTTAATAAAAGCATCGTCATCCTTCTGATGGAAATAATCAAAATTCTGATAAGACTCAAAATTTAGGGCTCCCAAGTAGGCATTCTTCTTGGACAAATTTCTTTTCTTCTGAGGAGTGAACATGCTGCCCACTATAACGTTACTCATCATATCTAAATCTCCAAAGGTGTTATGATTTGGAATATTTTGCGCATAAGGAGCAAAACTATTTCTACCGTCCATATTATTGTTATTCATTGAATGCATACTCATAAATGGATTCAAATTATACAGGTCGTTTCTGTTATGCATAGATGTATTCATATTGTGATACCTTCCCATGAAATTATTGTTTCCTGGAGACACATTATACGGCATGTTTGTCATCCCATTAAAGTTGTTAGCCAATGGTTTTCCATCATTTGCGTTCACCCCCTTTCCATTCTCATTTCCCTGCATATTCAAGTTTCCAAAGGGCTGATGCAATGCTTGTCCATCACCCATATTCGCAAATTCGTTCTGCAGGTTCATCCTATCTATACTCCCATCAAGGTTCACACCAACATTGTCACCTCCATCCATCCCATCGTTGAACCTATTCATAGAGTTCACCCCGTCACTCCTGTGCACGGAATTCAACTCCAAGTCGTTAAATTCACCCATCATGCTGCCCCTCTCATTCATGGAATTCTGCAAATTAGAAAACATGTTCTTCGGAATCATATTGTTCAATATAGAATTTTCCAAGTTCAAATTATCCATGGGGTTGTGAAACGACTCAGATAGGGCCCTATTCAAATGCAGCCCATCAAAGTTGTTCATAGGAATGCTATTCCTAGAAATGTATGACCGCTCTAATGCCTTTTCCATGTCATGGTAATTCCCCATACTGCTGTGTACACTACTGCAGTTGCTGATGCTTCCATTATTTCTACCCATGTAGTTATTATGCATACCGCTATTAACATTACCATTACCATGGTCATTTTCAGTGTCTTCATTGTCGTGGTCAAAATTTAGATAGTTCAAGCCGGAAATTTCTAGAAGCATCTCATTATTCATTTCGTTCTCATTAAACATGTCATTGTAACTGTTGTTCTGTGTCCCGGCAATACTTATCTCATCAGCGTTCAGGGAAAATCGAGATTTTCTTCCCGTAAAATTGTCAATTACGGAAGGGATTAATTCGTTCAAGCCAATGGAACCCCTCTTTATATTCAGGGAATTTCTATTTAGCCTCTTTTTATTTCCATTTTTGCTACTATCATCTTCGTTGTCCTTTCCTAATTTTCTTCTCTTGGAATCCTTACCACTTACCATCAAGTCGTTCAATTCATTGTCCTTATTTTTATAAAGAGACAGGATCTTCCTTTTTAAAAAATCGTAATCTTGACCAATAAAATACACTTTCTTTTTGTATATGTTACACACCCCAATGAGCAAAAAGGAAAACGTTTTAATTGTCAAGCTGTTGTTCTCAACTCCTTTTAAGATGTCATTGCAAATCTTGCTTAAATCACAGCATACCATAATATTCTTCTTTATTTTGTTCTTATCAAAGTATGCATTCCATGCGTACCCGAGCGAATTGTTTCTGAAAGAATTCCCATAAATCACCAGTTGGTGATGATTGCTGCCGCTGCCGCTGCTGTGCTCCTGGTTTCTTTCGTCCCTTTGAATTATGCTCCTGCTCCTTTTAACCCTCGGGTTTAGCGTGTCGCCTCTTCTCAGCACATCCATCTCGTTCGGGGGAATATACACGTGGATAATTTGGAAAACACTTTTCCTGGTTGCAGGCGTTTACACATACACACGCTTAATATTGTACATAAGTGCATACATTCATGTGTGTGCATGTGTTTCCCCTTTACACTCGCTCAACTCCTGAAGTCAACACAACCAATATCTCGTCAATTTAAAAAGTTAAAAAAAAATAAAATAAATTAAATTAAACGTAAACTGTGGAGAAAAAAAAAAAAAAAAAAATTAAGTACATTCCAAGTGTATGCATAAAAATGAACCATTTAACGTAAAACGAAAAGCAGTCAAATGACGCAAGGGTGGTAGTGCGCACGTGTGAATATTGTGCACGTGTGTGTATTGAGAAGTTTAAAAAAAAATGCTGGGTGGAGCGGGCTCCTTAAACATTTTCTTATCAAAATAGGATCACACGTAACATGTCAATTGTGTCAAAATGGCCAAAAATGAAACCTGAGAGTGAATATGCTCCCAAGTGAGCGCTTCCAAACGAGCGGGAGAATTTTCCAGAACAATCTGACACAAAGCACTTTTTTGTTATAATTTTGCCACTCTTTGCAATGTGCACTTTTTAAGAGCGTGCCAAAGGGGGGTAGCGTGCGATTGTTCCGCTTGGGTGCCAAGTTGTATGCCAAGTAGTTACAGATTAAAAAAATAAAGTAATTAATAAGTAAATAAATATATGTATAATAAAAACGCCATAAAACCGACTTCTTAGACACCCACGCAGTTGTGAACAGTGCGCTTACAAGTATTCGCCACCATAAAAATTGTGCGACCAATTGACAATTTATTGTTTAAAAAAAAAAAATTTGCTTCAAGTCAGCTGATTAAAAAGAAAAAAGGCGAATCATGATGCATAGTTGTTTTATAATAAATTTATACTTCAAAAAATGGCTTCATGCAACTAAGCGAGCATGTATACTTTGTTAAGTAGCTCCTCGAGAACGTGTGCACGAGGAAGGACTGCGTATGCCCGTATGTATCGAACATGCATGGACGTACGCACTTCTGCGCGTATGCAAACGTGCGCCCAGGCATGTGCACTCCATACGCTTGGTCAAAAATAAAACACAAAATGTTCACATAATAATGTACAAACGCAGCACACAAAAAAAAAAAAAATGCCAAATTCAAAAATGGTACATTTTTTTTTTTTTTGCCAAATTACCATGGAAGGCAAATAAATGTAATGTATTCATAAAAGGTCAGGGTAATATACATGGGCGCAATTTCCCATGTATTGTCTCACGTTTCCGCCAAAAGGACATATCGCCCTTTTATTTTATTCTATATGTTCAAGTCATTCTTTCAGACATCCCTCACTTTCGATAAAACGAATAATGCATTGTTTTTTTATAAGATACTTTAAAAAGGGATGACAATTGGCGCAAATGTGAAGGAAGAAAAATGTAATGCGCCATACGCAAGGGGGTTAAAACAATAAAAAAAAAAAAATCGTAAAAAGAACGGGAAATTATAAAAAGTTATGCACGGTTCATAATTTTTTTTTAAATATCCCGCTGTTTAACCTTTTTTTTTTTTTTTTTTTTTTTTTTTTTAAAAAAAAGCCCAAATGGCTAGCTGCTCTTACGGTTTACACAAACTTTTTCCTTTTCGTCCTCAAAATGATTAAGCAGTTTTCCTTTGCAACGCTTTTGATTAACATCAAAAACGCCAATTATTAGTTTTTACAATTGTCGTTGTTTTTATTTTCCCGATGATATCACGCTGCTTCTGAAAAAGTGGCAGCCTCGCAGTTCTCAAACATCGCGTGCACACACATGATGAAAGGATGCTTATGTAGCTTCCCTTAAGGAAATTTTCCCCAATATAAGAAAAATAACTGGCTCCATTTCGAAGTGTTCTAAACGTTTGTGTTTTTATCTTGCAATAGAAGGAGACAGCTCATGCCATAAAGGGGTGTCCTTTTGTGCTGCACAAAATGTTACACCTTTTTCTGAACAATTTTTTCGTTTGGTTTGTTAAAATAGCTGCAAAAAAAAAAAAATAATAAACAGGAATCGCTTTTCATCCAGGTCAGAAGGTTTAATCTTATCATGTAACCATTGCACGGGTAAAAATAGTTCGGTGATGGGCAGGACAGAATATATATCCTCCAAGGGGACAAATTACACCTCGCTGCTCCTTTTATATCTCGTGCGTTTACCACAATTGTAACCGTCCTTGTCAGGTTTTGCTGCGTTTGTATTGTTATCTTAGTATTTTATTTTTTTTTTAAGGTTTTCAGCACCATTGCACGAGTTATTGTGCCCCTTTTACACCGTTCGCATAATTGCGGATACAAAAGAAATATACAGGATTTACACGTGTTGGCACTTGTTTTCCTGTTTCATGCACCATTGGCGCCGCGATAACGCGCACCCACTGCAATATTATCGACAGGAAATCCAGCTTTTATCATAATTAGTTCCTAACCGTTTCTACACCGCGATTCTGTACTCGGTTAACATTTAAAATAATTCAACGTTCGAACCAGTTTGTTTCCTGCCCAAATGGTATATTTTTGCCGCGCAAAGGAAGAGCTATAAATTTGTACATAGGGACATATACACGCAAGTAAAGTCGAAAATGGTAGAACCCATTTTCTCAAACAATCCATGAGGCATATTTTCCCACATTTGATAACATAACAAAAATGAGCGTGTGTTTGAAGAATCACTTTTCAACGCGCCAAAGTAGCCGAAAAATAGCTGCGTTGGCATACGCCTTTTCCTGTGAACCACTAGGCGCACAGTACTTCTCCAACCAGTGAAAACGAAAAAAAAAAAAAAAAAAAAAAAAAAAAAAAAAAAAAAAACAAACAAAAAAATTATATACTTCTTTATATATAAAAAAAAAAAAAAAAAAAAAAAAAAAAAAACGAACAAACTCTTGTATTATTTAACCAAATAATGTTCACAAAATATGCCGTTTTGCACACACACAAATAGAGGGAAAACATAGTAAAAAAAAAAATGTTAACTGTACGTAGGAGCATTTCCCAATCCAACACTCTCCTTCCCCTCAACACCAATGAACTTCTGCCGTTTTGACTTATACATGACAAAATAAAAAACTCTATGCAAATGCCCCACCTTAACTTGTTCATTTTGCCCTTTTAGCCAGTACACGTGGAAAATACACCAAAAATGATAAAATTAAACGGAATAATTTTGCTTTACTTTTCTGTGCTCAATTTGGTGTATTGTCTTAATAGCAACTCCTGTAAAACCGCCTACATCTTGTACTCCCCACAGTCGACGACGGTAACAGTTGTTCATATTTGGACCTGCACATACGCGCATGCACGTGAACATAAGTATATGCCTGTGCACGCACTCTACATACACAATTAGAACACAGTTACATGGGCACGTTACGCTTCTTCCCCCCTTGCAGCGATACAAGACTCCCTTCAGAAGATGGAATAGCCCACAGAACAATAACGTACTAAAAAATATATAAAAAAAAAAAAAAAAAAAACGCCCCATTGAACCATTTCTCTCAAATGACGTAACTGAAACATAAAGTCCCCCTTCCCCACCTCCCCCCCCCAATGATACTCTGCATGCTTTGTTATTAAAATGTGAATGTGGTTGTCCACATATTCCCATGCGCATACATGCGGGGTAACCACGGACAAAGTGCACACATGTGTAGTATCCACCTATGACGTTGCATACCGTTCATCATCATGTGCACACCACGTGCTCGCCATCTACATGCGCCCGCTGTCTTACCATATCTGTGTACCACATCACGCCGCTCCGCTAAAAACGCTTCTCCGATGAAGACGCCCTAACAAACTACGCACATTTTGAATAACCCACCGATTAAGCATGCATCAATTTTTGTGTCAATTAAAAACGCATTATTTGTTTCGAACTCTAAAAATCATAATCAGAATTTGAGCGATTTATGTAAAGACCAAAAATCGACTGAAGATGTGTACAACGAAAATGTGGCAAGGCAATCCAACCTAAAGAATTTTGCAAAAGACATAAACGACAATGTCTACATCGAAACGAACAGGAGAGAAAGGAGGATAAAAAGGAATAAACACTTGCGGTCCTTATACAGTAACAATAGCATACGGATGTCAAACTTTATTTATCCCATGTTCATTCATGAGGAGGTAAAAAAAAAATTAATTTGCATAAAGAGAGAGAGAAAAAAAAAGTGTGCTTCCTATATAACAGAACCACCTCTGTACTGCTCTCCTGTGAACCACATCCCTTCTGTTACATTCTTCTCCGCAGGATAACCCACAGAAGGAAACCCCGCTGGATGGAATTTACACTTACAACTTAGACGGAATCGTGAAAGAGATCGAAGAATGCTTACAATTGAATATTCACCACTTTATGTTTTTCCCAGTCGTCAAGGAAGAAAATAAAACGACCTACTGCTCTGAATGCTACAATGAAAGCAGCTACTTCTGCAACGCGATAAACAAAATAAAACAAAAATTTAAAAATCAAGTTGTCATTTACGTGGACGTTGCTCTGGATCCGTATAACGTATACGGACACGATGGAATATATGACGAAGACAAAGGGGAAATTCTCAACGACGTTACGGTGCACACGCTGGTGAAGCAGGTAATGCGTGCACTTGGGGAGAATTTATCCTCATTTTATTTTTAGTTTTATTTGCCTATTCGAGGGCCTCCCCCCACTTGTGCTTGTTTCTACTCTATTACGCAGTGGGCGCACTAATTCAACCTCGCAAACGAACGAGAAACACCATTATGGTGGCACCTCCCCACATTTGCTCCACCTTCGCAGTCCCTATGCCTAGCCAAATGCGGCGCCGACGTAGTGTGCCCCAGCGATTCCATGGACAACAGAATTCAACAAATTAGAAAAAACCTAGATTTTCAAAACTTCAGAAATGTTCTGATATTGTCCTACACGTGCAAGTATTCCTCATGCCTGTATAAACCATTTAGGTCCATCCTGAATTCCAACATTCACAAAAACGTCGTCAAAAATAAGCAGTCATATCAGCACGACTTTAACACGTACTATGACCTGAACCATGTGGAGAAACGTAATGAGCCAACAATAGACGCACGCAAGGATGCATTTGCCATGTGTGTGCGTGTGTGTCCACCGTTTTGCGCTTTGCTCGAAAGGGAGAAAATGCATATACATGTGGAGTCCCCAAAGTTTTGCTAATAAATCGAATTCTTGTTTTCTTTCCCCCCCTTGCAGACATCGCCGAAGGGGCCGATATCCTCATGGTCAAGCCGTCGCTATTTTACCTAGACGTGATCAGTCGTATTAGAAGCAGAATGGCCACATACGCCACGGTGCCTCTGGCCGTTTACAACGTCTCTGGTGAATACATGATGATCAAAAACTACGTCAAACATTTGAATGCAGACATAAATTATGAAAATGAAATTTTGACGGAGCTCTTTAAAAGCTATCTAAGAGCAGGGGCAAATATAATTATCACCTATTTCGCTAAGCAGTATGGTTTATACCTCAAAAATCTGTATGACCGTAATGTAGACATAGACGACGATATGAGCAGCAATTTTAATGTTGAATTGACGCTATAATGGGCATAATCAAAAGAGGACATTAATACTTAAAGAGGAAAGAATTCGTACAGCGTATTTTTCCATCATCAAGCGGATTGCGTATTCCATCCTTCAGTTTTCTTTTTTTCTCCTACAAAAAAATGTCATTTTAATTTCAAGAAAGTGTTCTGCTTCGCATGGCAACTGAATGCATCACGCGGTCGAGTGAATTTCAGGCGTTTGTTTCTTCGACGTGTTAACATTTTTTTTTTTTTCTTTTTCCTCCCCCAATTTGTTCCAGTCTTATTGTGGCATGTTTAGACAGTTTATGCGTTTTTCTGTTCCGCGCTCATTTATCACGTTTACCATATCCACTCCTGGGCACCTTCCCATTTTTTCACTCCCTGCTTGAGGACAATATGACACAAAATTTAATGAAAATTTAACGTTTGCTCACGGACAGGGCGATGTGTACCGTCCGTTTTCGATGCGGGGCGATTTCAAATGGGGCGTGTGCTTGGGGGACACAACAGGAACAAATAGGATGTTCCTCTATTTAACCACGTGCGTAATATGCGCACACCACGCGAATATGTGTACACGACACGTAGTATGTTATTGCACGCGTATGCCCCGTCTTCAACCCTAACTGCAGGCGAGCGAACTAAAAGAAGACGAGGATTTGATAAAGTACGAACTGCCCAACAGGCTGACCAGCATCATCTACAAAAAAAGAAAAAACAAACATAAAAAAAAATACATCTTAAATAACGAACAACACGTGATATTACCTTCGCACAAAATTTCAAACGAATACAAAATTTACACCAATCCTATTGACTACAACTATGAGGAAATGCACGTTTACATGGAGGTGAACACTGGAAGTGTAAATGAAAAAAAGAACCAGCAGGGGATAAGTCATCTGTGTGAGCATGTCTCTTACATGGGTTCCAAGTAGGGCATTGTTTTTGTTGCTTAGATATGCTGCAAAATATCGCCTCTCAAAGAAGCAAACCTTTCCCCACACTTTTTTTTTTTTATTTTTTTATTTTTTTTATTTTTGATCATATGCACGCCCCACACGTTATACTGTCCTTACCACCCCACGCAGAAATCGGAAAAATATCATAGACAAAAATATCCGGACAAATGCGTACACCGATTTTCACCATATCGTTTTTTATATAAGTGTGAGCCTGAACAAAGAACTGTACAAAGAAAACTCCTTGAGCCAATTCCAGTACGACAATGTCATAACAAATATTAGCGAAGACCAAATTGAAGATTATGATGTTTACACAGTAGACGAATTTAACTACAAGCATGCCATCCTGTCCAAGTGCATTGACACCATGGTGGAAGTACTAAAAGGAGAAACTCAATTCAACAAGGAACGAATTATTAAAGAGAAGAAGGCCATTTTTTCCGAGTACAGCATTATCAACACGGTGGAATATAAAATGAACTCAGACATTATTAAGACGCTGCACAAGGAAAACAGGTGCGTCACGCCCAGTAGCGCGACTGGGGGCGCCGCTTCGTAACACTGACACGTCATGTCACCATTTCCCTTCACCACAACTCCACTCATCGCTTCCCCTCCCCCGCCGCAGACTGAGTCACCGACTTCCCATCGGAAAGCTGGAGCTCCTCAAGAGGTACGAGCCAAAGGACATTAAAAAATATTTCGACCTTTTCTTTAGAACGGAAAATGTCAACCTGTACATATACGGAGATGTGAACGTGGACATAGCTCGCAAGCTAGTAAGCGAAAAATTTCAGAAGGTTAAGAAGGACGAACTAACACCGGACGACATAAAGTACCTGGCCATTTTGAATGACAACACTTTGCGGTCGAGAAATAAAAACCTACCCGCAATTGTCCATATGTATGGGGGTGATTGCTACTCAAAAAAGGGCGGCACGGAAAGTGGGTCTCCAAATGGATCAAAGGATCAGATGGATAAAGATGATGTGTGTGCAGGGGAACCCGTCATAGGAGGCACCGACACAGGAAAGGAAATGATATACGCAAGTAGAGATAATACACCTGGCGATGAGAAAGATGATTGCGAAAAAGCAGACAACGGTTCCATCACGTCCCTTCCCGACGACGAATACCCAGATGACAACATCGTCGACGCGCGGAAACTCAACGAATTAAGAAGCACGTTTCAAAACGAAGCCCTTAGCGAGCTCAAGTTTAGGGCCTATCTTAGCGAAAAGTACAAACCAACATTGGAAGAAGAAAAAATTCTGAACAAGTCAGACCAAAAAAAAAACCTCACAACAGATTTTGAAATTATAAAATATTCTTTAAATAATGTCAACATAAATATACTGATGAAGGAGGAAATAAAAAGCATTCGCACCATGGAGGATTACAAAAATTATGTCATGAAAGATGTTATGTTTTATTGCCTGTCTTTTCGATTTAACGTATACAAGCGGGATTTATTTAACAGCATAGATATTAATGAGTACACAAATATTAACGAAGGGGCCACCGTGAGAACGGTGGAAATAAAGACAACGACAAAATCGTTCTCAGAAGCTGTTACAGCTTTTTATAATTTCATTAAAAGTTTGCTAGCCCATGGGTTCAGCAATGACGAGTTACAAAATTATCGGGCCAACGAGATTGAGTACGATGAAGCAGGTGGAGGAAGTGGCGAAGGAGATTTTAGCTCAGCCAGCGGGGCAGGAACAAAACAGATGAAGCTAGTGCACCCAGAAAAGGAAGAGGAGGAACAAATCCTGGAAACCCGAATGAACGAAATGTACACAGATGAAATACAAAAAATTATCGACTACAATTCTTGTAAGCATGTGTACCTGAATGAGCAAAGGGAAAAAAAACTCAAGCAGGAAATTTTCGATAATTTAAAAATAGAACAAGTTAATTCCTTTGCCAAAAATTACTTTCAGTATTTGTTTAATATATTCAAGGCAAATACAAATTTTAAGCCCAACTGTGTTATTATTCATGTCCCACACATGGACTTCAACTCTTTCAACAAGGATGGAGTGAAGAAGCTGTTCCTAAACAACATCAATTCTGTATCTGACGTCCCCAACTTTTCCTTAAGCTTTCAGAATACCTTACTGTCACAGAAATATGTGTATGAAAATATCACAAAACAATTACACATGGCTAGGTACGTGGACCCCAGGGGGGGCGACACACCCAAGAGAGACATATTCGCTGGCATCCTTCACAAGATAAACCAGATTAAAAGGGACCATCAGCCCGTCCTGTGCGTCCTCCCTAGTATGGACACACCAACCAAGGTTGGCACGCTGGACAAGGCTGACGCCGCACCTCTCGTGTACACCGCGCCCAATTACCCCCTCTTCCGCACGTGCTACGGCATGCATACGGAAGGCAAGCAGGGGGAAGTCGAACACGGGCTAAACGCCTCCCAGGGCACACACCTAAGCCACCCCGCGCAGGGAAAAACGGGCGTCAATCTCGATGTACTGCCCAGCGCATTGAAGACCGGAACAGACGCCAGCAGGGTCAACCTGAAAAAATACGTGGCAGAACAGAAAGGCCAAAGAGAAGTCGAAAACTACCAACTGGCAAATGGGATCAAAGTGAATTTATACAAAACACAAATAGACAAAAAAAACATATACCTAAGATTAATCATACCGCATAATGACATATTGAAAAAAAAAAAAAAAAACGTGTTCCCCTTATTATTCTCAGTTATATGTCTCTTCGAGGGAGGAGAAATTGAAAACATCAGTCGTGAAAACGTAGAAATTCATTGCAGCAATAGGAGCATAAATATATGCATTGACATTAATGACGAATATTTTTTTATCGATATTTATACTTATAATAAACACGAAAATATCAATTCGGCCTTTTCCATACTTAACAACATTTTACTGCAAACGCGCATTGAGGAGTCTGCCCTCAGGAGGGTCGTCGACAAGCTCCGGAAGGACTTCTACGAGTATAAGAACAATCTCCAGGTAAGCGTTTCCCCGGGGTGTTTGTCTAGGCGCTACATCGGTGTGGCGTCGTGAGTGTCACAATTAGGTCATGTTTACGTCATTTTTACGTTTTTTCTGCTCCTCACCCACCCCATTGCAGTCCTTCTTGCTCGGCCAAACCATCTCGTATCTATCCGACGGCGCGATGGGCTACCAAAATTTCGACCTGCGAGAAGCCGAAGAAATGTCCCTCGAAACGGTGCACAAGGTGCTAAAGCACCTATTTAGAGACCCCTCCCTGTTTGAGCTTACCGTTGTAGGCGACATACCCGATTTTATGCACTACTACGTGCTGCACTACATTGGAACCCTCCCAGTTATAAGAGACGTGTCCACGAATGAGAACGCGACAGAAGTGGAACGAGTAACTCGCCAACAAATGAATCTCCGTGGTGATAACAACGATACACCGCAAAATGATACACCCACCGGAACGGATCCCCTACAACAAGAGTACTCACTCCTGTGCCCACTTCAAAACTTCGAAGAAAAAATAAAGCAAGCTACCTATGTCTTTTTAAAAGAAAAAGAAGATCACGCTATTTTCCTCCTCATCGGAAAAAGTGCCAACCACTTTGGCTTCCTCTCCAACGGGGTGCACATTTCGCTATACTTACTACAATTTTTAAAAAAGCTTCTATGTCACGAAATGGAAGATGAGAATGTTGAAAAAGAAACCACGGATAAAGTATTTACACAAATTTTAAATCACATCCACATAGAAAAATACAAGAAGGAAGACATCACAGAATTAATTACAAGAAAAAAAAAATTATATACCAACCCCCTTTTTTTCAATGCAGTATCTTACATTATTCAGTACATACTGAACAGTAAATTATTTCATTATTTGCGAGAAAAAAAAGAATTAACTTATGATTCTTCCTTTGAATTTATAAACTATGAAAAATATTTTGCAGGCTTTTTTACCTTACTTGTTCAGACAAATCCGAAAGATTTAAAAGTTATAAAAAATGAAGTTCTTTCTAGCTTTGAAAATTTTACAAAAAATTTTTACAACTATTCTGATTACTTAATAGAAAATGCCAAGTTATCTTATTTAAATAAGAAAACAAAAGATTTGAAATTTTTTGTTGATAAAATCTCGGGGATGCAATTGACACACTTCCCGCTAAAGTACAAAAATAAATTTCTCCTAAGAGATAATCTTATACTGAGTAAAATCGAAAAAATAGACGTCCTCTTAGCCGTATATATCCTGTTCAATCAAACGTCAAGTTATCACATATCTTGTGGAATTGCATCTCCGAAGGATGTTTGGGCGGAAACTTACAGAAACATAAACGAGTTGTAATAAAATGGTGTACTCCATTTTCGTGGAACTTGCTCATATGGCGTAGCAACCTGGACGCTCCTACTACGCCATAGTGCTGATTTTTTTTTTATACCCACGAGCATATTTGCGCATGTCTGTTCTGGACAGGCGTCTGGTCAGCAGTCCTTTCTATATACGTATGTGTTTCACCACATGCCGCTTCACCTCTAATCGTGCGTCTATGCGCGTTGATGCACTTGGGATACGCATCAACACACTTCTGTGAAGTGTACACCGGGGATATTACTCCCTTTTTCATTTTCTTCATTTGTCAGTTGGGAGTGACCCCACTCTTCTTCCCTTTTCACTATCATAATATTATCATAATCAGCCTCGTATGTGTAACCGCGTGCAGACTGCTGTGCGTTTCTGCATATTAATGACACATGATGTGGGGCCTCCTCCTTTTTTGTTTGATACCCTTGAGCTCGCAGCACCCCTTTCAGTGCTCCAATGAGCTTCATCGAATTTGTTTTTTGTTATGTGCTGGTGCGTCTTCTCACCACACATGAGTGTGACGCACAACCGTTTGCGTCTCTATCTCCATCGCGTGTGTCCTTTATTTATATATTTTTTTTTTGTGTGTATATTCAAGCGCCAACACGTTGCATCGAGTAGCAGAGAGACAGAATCTCCTTAAAATTTGCGGTGCTGAATAAGACGTTATAATCAACATTCTCGTTTACACAATTGTTTGTCGACGACTCGTCTATGTGAACAATTTCCTGGACGATCCGCTGGTAACTTTTTTCGACCGCTTCGCGGCAGTTCCACCTCACGGGGGCGTAGTACCTGGGCGACTCCAAATTTTTGATTATCCATTGGAACAGCTGCAAAGGCGGAAAGGGTAAAGTGGACTGTGCAACGGGGGAAAGCGCCAAGCAGGGGGGCAGGGAAGGGGAGTCAGCTACGTCTCCCCCCTTCACACGAATTGCCCTATACCGACCACTAAACTCATATGTTGGCCACACAGCGCAACACTAACCTTCTGCGACACGTCCAGGAAGAACATTTTCTCGTTTGTGGCCGTGCCGCGAAGCATCTTATTATCCTTTATGTTATTTATGAACGCCTTCAAGTTGCTATCATACATGCCTAAATTGTAAATCTGAAAAACATATATCGATATTTCCCTCACCGTTTGGCCAAACATGACTGCTACTTTTTGGTGAAGGGAAGAGTCCCTTTTCTTCCAAATCGGAATCCTCCCCTGATAATTCAAATTTTCCTCGTGAACGTAAAAAATGTAAGGGTACAATACAGAGTTGAGGAATATATCCAAGCAAAGGCATAAGGTGTGTATACTGAACTTCTTTTCATTCATCACGAAGTTTTTATTTCTTCCATCTATTTCGTCATGGATAAGATAAAACATAAATCGTACACCGTCGTTGAGATCCTTGTGGGGTATTTTCACCAAATCGTTGATCAGCATTTCTAAATATACGTATATGTGTTCCTTTATCTTTTTCAGGGTGGACAGCTCCTGCTTCTCATCTGCAGTCAGGCATACATCCGCCATGACATCATGTCCGCTGCTGCTCCCCACGTTGTCTCCATCCTTCTTTGTGTTCATATCTTCCAAAATTGTATTATCCTCTTCCAACATGGTTTCGTCACCCAATACGGTGTTATTTCCCCCGTTTGCTGGGAACTCTTCCTTTTCCATACCTGTTCCAACTTGACCGTAGCCATCCTTATCCCCCTTTACCACCTCATCAGGGTCATCTCTGCTAATCCGTTTGGTACCCTTCACGTGCTCATTTGGCGAATGAACTGATACGGCTTGTTCATCTTTCACCTCTGAATTGTTCCCATGCATATTGTCCCCCTTTTGGGAGGCTTCCCCATTGGAGACAGCAACGCCATTTTCCTCCTTCCCAATATGCGCACAGCACAGCTCGATATATTTATCCACCCAAGGGGCGAGCACAAACCTCCGGAGACATAACAACGTGGCAACGCTGTCCAAGACATGGGTCACCTTCATCTTCGTGTGGTAGTCGATGTTTTTGTTCAGCAGGGTATAAATTTCGTGTTTAATTATGTGCTTCACTAGGTCTTCCAAACTGTCATAATAGGACGCCACGTTAAAAAAGGAATGCGTTAGAAGGAGGGTGTTCAAGCTGCACCTCGCCTTCAATATATGAATCACATTTATATATTTGTAATTAACCAGGTGCTTCCACAACTCTCTGCAAATGTGTGATTGCTTCGGGGGAATTTTTCCCTTCCCGCTTAAGTTCGCCTCCCTTGTGTCTCTAAAAACTTCCATTAACAAATTACAGTTGGTTGGTTTCTCTTCAGTCACATCGTACATGGACGCATACTCCTTCTCTAGCGTGAGAACGCTGTGCACATCTTTGTTGCTCAATTTGGTTGTATCCACGAGTTTTGTATGATTAGAGAAATGGTCATGCGGAGCTTCCTCTGGCGCGTGTTCCACCTGTTCACCCTGCGCGGCGGAGTACTTAACGCTAGGCTCATGTGCACTGCCCGCCTCATTGGCCCCCCCCTCGAAGGCTGTCTCGTCATACAGTCCCAAGTACCCCTTCTTGTCATTAAACGCATTGTTAAAATTGTACATTTCTTCCAGCTTATTACGACTTCCCCTCAAAACGCAACGCTTCTTATTATCTATATCCCTCTTGGCCATCCCTTCCTCGATATCCTTAGGGCTAACAAAGTTAAGCTTAAAAAAACTGTCTTCATAAATGCACAAATTTGATTGCACGTAAATTTTCTGACACAACCAATGTGGTGCATTTTTCATAAAATCTGAATCCTCCCCTTTTTTGGCCATTAAAAATTGAACAGCCAATTCATGCTTCTTTTGGTATAAAATAAAGTCAGATAAATTTAAGGATAATTTTGTATGATAAAAAAAGGCCTCTGTCCATTCGATGGTCAATAGTTGAGATAAAACAGACCTCTTCAAAGCCATTATGTATTGCATTTTTTTTTTTTTTAAAACTTTTATCTCGTCAATTATGTATTTATATAATGTATCGATTCGTTTTTGCAAAGAAGTGTAGTTGGAATAGATTTCTGCTAGCAATTTGTGCTTCTTCTTCAACAAATGGAGTATCCTATTTTTCCTATTCTCCAAATTTACATCACTGAGGGATTTTTTCTGATGGGACAAAATGAAAGCGTCTTTTATATTCACAATGGGGTGGTTACGATAAGTGCCCTTGGAGTGACTTCCTACCAGCACACAGTTAGGACATAGACTACAATAGCATTTCATGCAAACACTTTCGACCACCTCATGTGGATGGTATGCACACTTTCCAAATTGATATGGAGACTCCGATATTGGCATCCTCCTATGATTCTTCAAAATTTTATTTTTCTCATGATGCTTTATGTCACATATATTGCACAAATGGACCTTATCATTATGGCAATAATAAATAGCCTTAGCGGTGTAGCAGTATTCACATATCGGCACGCTGATGTCGACACGTAAACATTTGAATTCAAACTCGATTAACAACACAGGAAGTACCTGTTCGGCTGATTTTACTTTGTATATGTAGCTATAATTACTTCCGCCCCTCCTCATATGTGTTGATGTCTCCTTAATTTGCTCACCTCTGCCCAATTCATTCTGTCCATCCCCCCCCCTCTTCCTCTCCACCGATGAGCCCAACTGCTCATAGAATAAATCTCTATCCACCGCAACAGAGTCGTAATTATTTGGAATTTGTCCCTTTTCCATGTAACTTAAATTATTTTTATTTAATAAGAGAGTTTTGTTCGGTATTATTTTAAATAGGTACACTCGAAAACCCCCATTGGTGTTCTTTTCAAACCCTAGTGGATAATCTGTGTTCCCAATCACATACTCCAGGTCTTTTAATTCCTCATAATTGTTTGTAAAATATTCACCCACATTTTCACTTGTATTATTTATTTTGTTTGTGTCCATTATACTAAGTAGGATGTTGCTTCTCAAATGACCTGCAATTTCGTCAAATGCTTTTTCACTTTCGGGCTTCACTAATCGATATACATTCAAGACGTTCACGTTGCTACTAAAGAAACTTAATTTCAGGAGGTACTCATATTTCATCACCATGTTGTAGTCAGTAATTCTGCTTATTTCTAGCATCTCTGCAAATGTGTTATTACTGTTTGTCTTTTCACTTAGACCTTTATTTTTTAATACGACTCGTTTGTATACACTGCGGAAGTCGTTACCTTCCTCCTCCTGACTCCCCTCCACCGCGTATCCCTTTTCATGTTTCTTGTCCTCCATGGGTTAGTTCGAAGCACGGTGTGAAGGCAACACGGACGACAGGGGGGGACAGGGTGAAAAGTATGTCTCCCCTAAACGTTCGATTTTGTTTATCCCTTCACCAAGTTTCCCTTTTTTTGTTTTTCCTTTTTCAGCATTCCCATTCCATGTCGCCAAAGCGGTGTGCAAAATGTGACGGATCAATCCCCCCCCCCCTTGGGTGAGCGAGCAAAGGGGCATAAACGCACACACAAGTGTGAGGTGCTCACAGGTATGCAAAATTAAAAAAAAAAAATTTCCCAAAAGTAACCAAACAAGAGGGAAAAGAACCAAACTGTTGACAAAACGCCAAGCCAACTGCGCTAAGCGTCCAAGGAAGTATCTTATTTTATTCCTTCCCTGCTTGCACACCCCTTAAGCGGAAATTTTCACACACAAAATTCAAAACAGGCGTACAAGAGTTGGGTTTTAGGTTAGGGCGATCAAAAAAAATTCACCTTTTCCCATGTGCGAATTGGGAACAACGAAGTTACGCCAAGACATGTGAGCATTATTTATTTTTTTTTTTAATTTTCCGCTCTCCGCAGTATTTCTCACCTTTGCATATATGAGTCATACTAACGCAAAGGTTGCTGTTATTTATGCGCGACCCTCTCATTGGCGCTTTTTCAAAGCAACAATTACGCTATTTTTTCATTTCCCACTGTTACAAAATGTCCAAGGGGAACAAAAAAAAAAAAAAAAGAGCACACACAAGTTCACTTTATTTTATTTTTTTTTCACACATTTGTAACATTAATTTTACGCACACACCTGGGCATTATAGCCCTTTTGTTAAGATGGTTCTTCTCAATGTTGCGTATATTTCGATATGTACAAAAAAAAAGGGAAAAACAAAATGGGCGACAGTTTTATTCTCCCCATTTTTTATTTCACCTTGCGAATGTTCAGTCTGGTCAAGCGGAATACATTTTATATCCCTTCAATACTTCAGCCAAATGCCGTCTTTATAAAAATGTTCACTCACCCGAGGTGAACAAACAGCAGGAGACCACATAAATTGTGCGTAAAAGCCTACATGCAGTTCTTTTCCCAAGTTTGTGTGCCAGCCGCTCTTCACAACAACCACGCAGGAAATCAGAATGAGCTTTATCTGACGGGATACACTGCCGTTGTGTACCGACATGAGGTGGTTAGTTCTGTTCATGCGCACCCACTCTTCTTGCATTTTTTCTCGCACGCATTTTACTTCCTCACAATAGGGGTTATCACATTTTTTAGCGTAGCATAGGGGGCACGTCGGGAGACATAGTAGAACCACCATCGTATCAAAAATGGAAAAATTAACAAAAAAAAAAATGACGCCAAAAAATTAACAAATAAGAAACAACCTACACACCCGCATCAGATTATTTTTTAAATTGCCAACTTCAAATCTGCCACGTCTAATTTTTTTTTTACACAGCCGCTTTTCCACCGCGCTCATTCGATTTGCTCACTTGGCGGTAAGCGCCGACGTGTTCCATAGTTCAAAAAATAGCACATGGATAGAGGAACTCCTAGCAGGTATTTTATTTTTTTTCCTTTTCCCCCTATTGTATTGTAGCATACAGTGTGGGTTTATGTCGCCGTGTGTTAGCCTATACCTTTTTATAAAAGGCCGCTGGCGAATTGTAGACATTTAAGCATGGCTAAAAAAATGTGGTATTTTTATTTTTTTTATTTTTTACCCCTTTACAATCCTGCTAGTTTTTTCTTCAAAATATAGCTGCTTTCCTTACAATTTGGAATAAGCAATCATTTCATTTTAAAATGTCCATTTCACCATTTATGTGTGCTGCCCACGAGAGGACACCTTTTTTGTATTACCCAAATAACTTTTTCACTTATACTGTTTTATTGCCCAATTTATTGCAAATGTAGCGCACACGCGAGGAAGATGGGGAAAAAAAAAAAAAAAAAGATAAAATAACGCCTCTATAAAAGAAGGTGCATAGTTTAACACTTGCGTGGATTAGGCGCAAAGCAAAGCGGGAAAAAAAAAAATTTATAGGCTCAGCACAACGTAACGTTTTCAACATGTAAATGCATACGTTCGTAACCGTAACATATGATGGGGAAGCTCTACATAAAATGATTAGCAAAAAAAAAAAAAACATTCTTCAGTAGATTTTTTTCTCCCCCCCCCTGTGGCTTATCCCCCCAATCTATAACACGCAAAAGGTGGGAAAAGATTTCGGGGGAACCCTGAACAAATCGCATACACGAATTACACGCCTGTCAATCCTAAACGGATGTAAACTTCACAAATGCCAATCATAACTTGTAGGATGATATGTGTTCTAAGAAAAGGTTAAATTTTATAACTACCTACATCTCTGTGTGCACTCCACGCATTGGTGTTTGTGACAACACACTTAGTTGGTAATGTCGAGGGGGGGTAGGAATGTCCACTGATCACATGTCCCAAGCGCGACTGTACATGCTGCCACACTTTTGTGCAACCGATACTTCAACGTGTAAATGTTATTCAAATCAGCTTCGTGCAGTTTAGTACTCCACAGTGACTACCTCGGGAAGCCACGACGTCGTTGTAGCTACGTTGCCGCCTTCACTTAGCAACCCTAGTCCTGGTCAAAACAGGAAAGTAACACAATTTTTTTTTACATGCCCCCCTTCTACGCCTTCATGCGCATGGTATCAAAACATTAGCGATACCGCATGTAGCACCATGCCGTTAATCCAAATGTGAGAATTCTTTTTTGTTGGTGTCAACAAGTGACATTCGCCCTCACAACATCATCGCACATTTGTCAGAAGCGGCGTAAGATCTACAACAGTTCGAGGAATTCCTCCAAACCGAGAAGAAGAGACTGTACACAGTTGCTGTTAACCAAGTGGATAATTTTATCTTTAAAGGTATGGAAAAATAATGTCCTTATCAAAGTTATGTAAAGCGCACACTACGTGGTCCTAACCGTACACCTTCCTCCACCTTGTGTGCACAAAAAAAAAAAAAAAAAAAAAAAAAAACCCGCGGACCCCGTTTCCTCCACGTGACGGAAAAACATATATTTCACGCAGCCCAAAATGTGCACTTGCGTATTTCTCTACCGAGTCGTGCAATGTACATACATGCGTGAAGAAGACTCCCGCCTTTTTCGCTCTAAATGGAATACACACATGTAGGTGTATACTTATTATGCCCACGCACGTAGGTAAGCACACAGGAGAGCAGGGACCCCCCTAGGTGTAAACCAAAAAAAAATAAGTGCACGTCATAGCAAGACCAAACGTGAATGGGCCAGGGAGCATTCATGAAAACGCGCTCGGACGGAGAAAACACCAAAACACACAATGATGAACACCCAGGAAGAGTCGACCGAGGAGGAAGCAAAAACTTTGTGTAGCTCAAATGAAGAGAACTCTACAAAATTAGCGAAGAAAAGAAAGCTACAAGAAATAGGACCAAGTGAAATAATCGAGGAAGTAGAATCAACAGGGGGAGAAGCCACAATATGTGTAGACGAAGGAGAAGGGAATAACGAATCAAATTATAAATTGAAAAAAAATAAAAAAAGAAAAATTTTAACCCTTTTTAACAATATCTTCAATTGGGTTGTGAGTAAAAATGTAAAGATCCCATCGAAAGAAATTGAAACCAAAGAAGAGGTACATTTTTTTAATTTTAACAACATTTTGTCTAAACACTTCGGTTCAAAGGTTCTGTTCGTAACAGATGAGTCCATCAGCAAGGCGGAAAACATAATGATTGAGGACAAGGTCGGGTGGGTAACTAGAAGAAGGAGGGACGTAGGACATGAGTGGCTCATATTGAAATTAAAATACCCAAGTGTTATATATGGAATAGAAATAAATTTCGAAAATATGAACGATGATATATGCCCCCATTTGTCAATTGAGGTGGTGGAAAATTCTTGTATTGACGAAATTGTAAAAGAGGAAGAATGTATAATGAACGAAACGGATGAAAAACAAGCAACAGAACAGAGAGAACATAAAATTACAAAAAGGAAAAGCTACAATTTTTTAGAATCTTACAAAATTGATAAATCCATATCAGACATTTTGGAAAATCAAAATACTCCCTGGGTAGAATTACTACAAGCAGATTGTGTAGATTTCCTCAAATCTCTTCATAAAAAAAAAATATACTATTTTAAAGTTAATGATCTGTCCTTGATCAAGCCATGGACACATATAAGAATTAATTTATACCCAGATGGAGGTATAAATAAAATAAAATTTTATGGAGAATTCGTAACCCTATTTAAAAAGCATACAATTTTATCTAAACAAAAAATTTTCCTAAATAAACCCGAAAATGGATGTACTCTAATATATTACCATTGTGATCATATACATAAAGGACATCCAAAGGATATGATCGATTCATATAAAACTAATGGCTTCTCAACAAAGAGATTATTCAATAGACCACCAATTATCCTACGTACACTTAGTTACAATTCAATTAAAAATGTTTCCATTTTTAAATTCGGTGTGCGCGGCGTTATCGAAAATTTTACCTTTGATATTGGAAATTACAAATATGATCACCCAGAATATATTCAAATTTATTTATTGGACTGTGTAGATATGCTCACTTTGGACTTACTAGAACAGAAACGCATCTTTGAACAAGATGAAAAAATGGAAAAAAAAAAAATACACTGGCTGCAACTACCTCCATGTAAATTGGCAAACGATCAGAAGAAAACATTTTACAATTTTAATTTGCTCGAGTATAACTTCACAGTCATGGAGAGGACAGCCACTCACTTCAAAATTTCCCTCCATCCCGATGGGGGCATATCACAAGTCAACGTCATCGGTACCGTTTTGTCCACTCCATCCTGACATCCCCCCCCCCAGACACCGTCCAGATAGAATTTGCGTAATAATAGACGTAAACTGGGCATCCGCAATGTACTCTCCTATGTGTATGTTCTCTTATTATTTTATTAGAGGCTTGTGACGACAAATGGGGGGGCCTCCTGTCCAAAACGAGGAAGAGCAAGTCTTCCTCTACAAATGAAGCAGGAGGAAGCTACACCATGTCTGCATACTGTGTGAACATGGAGACGAAACAGTGAAAGCGTCACATAAGCGTTATTCAAACGTCCTCTTACCAAAAAAAAAAAAAAAATATATATGTCATAATTTAATACAAAGAGCAAGAAAAAAAAAATAGACATTTGTTTTCATATTTCTGCGTCCCCTTAATACCTCTTTATACCTCTTCATATGTCTGTATGTCCATATACATATCTACATTTGCATCTCTTTTTTTAAAAAATCTTTTCACACACTTTGATAAAACTATGCATGTGTACTTTTAGCCATTCGTCTAATCACACACACCCGTTTTTTTTTTTTTTATTACTCTGAAAAAAATAATTTTTGGCACTTTTTTTTTAAGAAAACTGATTAAAATATATATAACATATGACATGCGTAAGCTTTCCACCCACCGTGGAGAATTTTTAACTAAACGCCCTTTGAGCACAGATTATATGGAGCGTGCGCGAAAGTACAATATGGATGTCCTGCGCGTAGGCTTACTGGCGTGTCTTCATTGTGATTCTCCAAAAATGCCACCACGCACTACGTGATATAGCACACATCTCTTAAGCCTCTTCAAATCGGCACACTCGTCCTTCTTAACCACCCCAAAAAGAAAGCTGCCCTCGTAATGCGAAGAGGCGTAATTGTAAACTCATTTATGTTTAATGATGACTCAAGTACGAGTTGCACAAAAATGTGTACATAAAAAAAAAATCATCCATTTATTTGCCATAACGTAGGATATTTCCTTTTTTTTTTTTTTTTTTCTCCTTTGTGTCTTTTCCTCTCTACATATTTTTACTATTCTTTCTCTCTTCACCTTTCTCAACGAAAAAAAAATTTCAAAAGGAAGCAATTCAACCCATATCGCACCAATTGACCAGCAGGTCCATAATAGGGGAAACATTTTTACACCCTCAAGGGGACGTCTACATGTGTGTGCATGCATAGGTCACCGATTAAGTGAGAGTCGGCACAAGCAAGTTAACACAACACATTTGTCAGGATTTAATTTGCCCGCATTTTTTATCTGGACCTGTGGCAACTCAAAATAGGTTGAGATAAAAAAAAAAAAAAAACAAATTAAATAAAAATAAAAATAAGGATAAAAAAATTGGGCAACAAACAAAATAGAAGCAGCTACAGACACGTAATCACCTCCATATATGCCAAAGTGAAAAATGAAAAGCCAAAACAACGACAAACTGTGCAACCTGAAAGACTTGGTGCCCTTCTACAAGGTACGAAAGAATAAAAAGTTCTCCATGTGTGAGAGGAGACCACACACGGAGGCAGGAACTGCCAAGCAGTTTTATCTACCGCAACCCTAAACACCCTGGCCACCCACGCACAAATACGACACGCACAGAAGGACAATGAAAAGTTGAATGAAAATACAGAAGACATTGTATATTCGGTAAAAAAGAAATTTAATTGTATCAAGGAAAAAAAGGACACTACATTTAATAAGTATGAAAACACCAAGGTGAGGCCAAAAATGGCAAGCAGAAATGTCCCCCCCCAAGAAAAGTCAAATGGGAGGAACGAACGAACCGACGGAGAGACGGTTCAAGTAACAATACATACGGTCGATCTGCCACCCCACCGCTTATTCCACCTGTGTGCAGAAAAATTTGGATCTCCTCAATCGAGAATTAAAACTAAACAAGATTTCTCTCGGGCAACAAAAAATTGTAATAAAAACGACGGTAGCAGTGGCACAGCCACCTTTGCTATACCTACATATTGGCCTCACATAGAAATGGGGCGAATGCGGAAATGACGCCCTACACATGTTCACACAGTTGCGTGAATAGGCGTTTGCATTATTAGGAAGATATCTCACTGGACATTGCGTAGTTACTGACGTAATTGTACACACACACACACACTTTTCACCAAAAACAAAAAGGAGCATGAAGAACTCAAGACGAAGAATGAGGAAATATTAAACAAATTTGAAAACCTAAAGCATTCGAAGTACACCTACCAAATTATGTTGCAGCGGCTCAAGGTAGGTAGCCCCGGCGGAGCGAAAAAATGACGAACAAAGGCGAAAGCAAACTATCCAATAGGCTGCCCAACGAGATGATAAAAGGAAATGGCCAAAAGGCTTTTCGCCGGGCAAACACCCAAAGCGTTGACAATACACAGCGCCAAATCTCCCATTCCATTACATGCTCTTTTCACGCCCCCCAAAAAAAAAACAGAAGGAAAAGAAAATGTTGTACTTTTACTTAAACTCCTTGGAGAGAACAGTCACGAGTCTTAAAAATAACGAACGACAACTGCACAACGCGATTCAGTAATTACATTAAGAGGAAGCGAAAAAAAAAAAAAATGAACACATTGCTCATGGGCACCACTACGATGACACTGTCGTAGGCATGTAGACATGGGTACCGTCGCCACCTAATTTTGCATTCCGTCCTCCCCCCCGTATCATAACAGAAAAATAACTTCGGAAAATAAAAGTTTAAAAAAATCCATCGATGAGAAAAAAACGGTGAGGCGCATATTTTTGTCTTTTTGTCTGAACTTCACAAAATGGGAGTTGTAAACCTGCACAGCAATGGCCACATGGGGTTCAGGAAATGATCTGAGGAACAGACACGCAGATAAACAAATGTGAGCAGATGTACGACGGCAGGCCTTCCCTCATGTGTGCCGCAACCGCCCCAATCGCCCCACTTGCAGGAAATCATGAAGGCGACAAATAATAATGAAGAAATCCTCAAATATATGAATGTCAACAAGGAGCATAGCAATATACTCAGGATAAGGAGGTAGGCGCATAAGAAAATGAGCGTGTAGGCGCATGCACATTTGTCTTTCGTCGTCGCTCCACTTCTTCATCGCTGTTTCTTCATCGCTACCTCTACATCGCTGCTTGTTCACCCGCGCGTGCCCAATTATCCGCCAAACCCATCACAGGGAAATGATAAGCGAATACAAAAACAACAAACTGCACAACGCAGACATAGCGCTCATGGTCGAGGAAAAGAAAAAATTCAAAAAGCTCCTAATCTACTACTTGCTGCATAACAACTACTTAAAACTTAGCGCATCCAACATCTTCGAAAATGCAAGCAACATATATGCCACTATATCCAAGCTGAGGGAAGCAACGGTAAGGGGGGCCAGCCCAAAAAAAGAAGGACAAAATAGGACACATATAAAGAGAGCGATACGTACATGTGTAGAGGGGAACACCCAAGCATCATCCACCCCCGTTAGAACAAACCTTGCCCATTAACCGAAAAATAGTGAATCGGACACAACATTGCATTTATGTACACTCCCCCTCTAAATGGCCTTCCTATGAGGCACATAACCATACTTGCGCATAGTACTTGTGCGTAAAAGGCAAATCACCGCAACTGTTCCAGTCAACCCTACGAATGTAAATTATTTTATTTATTTTTTTTTCCACCCCTCCTGTGCACCGTGTAACAACAGGGCGTTACAGATATATATGACATAAATCAAAAGTTTCAAGACATTGAAAATAAAAAGAATTTGTTGCAAAAGGAAGAGGAATTATCGCAGAAGAAACTTGAAGTAAAGCAAAGCTAAATGTGCTTAGGCGAAATGGCGTCATTCCTCCAAATTACTCCCTCTTTCACTCATTTTCTACACCCGCCTTTTATCAGAGTGGGCGAGATTTCTCTCCCAACACTTCCTTCATTGTGCCCCTATTCACCCTCCATGTACATTCCCCTACTTTTGCATAAACCCTAGGACGCCATTCAGGAATACATACATCTCAACAACGATATTATAAACACCTTTTCGGAGGACAAGAATATACTCAAGAACAAAATTTTAAATGTAAAAATGGGAGAGTGGACAGGCGAATGGCAACACATACTACTTTTTCCTACACCCCGTTGTTATGCATTTGCGTATTTCCTCCACATGCACACACGTGGGTGTTGGCAATTGTGCTTGATCGTGGTTACTTCCCCTTCTTCTTCACAACAGGAAAAGGAAAAAATATCGGACGACATGTATGACATGTACAAGCTCGTCTTTGCAAGGTATACATTTATGCAAATACTAAACGATAAAATGTTGTTGTCCTCTCGGTTCATGCAACAATACTCATATTTGCATATGTTTGGAAGATTTTCCTCCCTTCACCCCATCCTATGCGTGAAACATGCTAAAAACATTTTTTTTTTTTACGTAAACTTTGTAGCGAAAAGGAACTAGAAGATATTAACATCAAGCTGGACAAAATAAAAAAATTCCTAGAGAAACAAAACAACTACTTTCACTCGATTAATATGGAAGTAAAGCACTCTTTTTTTTCTCCACTCCGCAAGAACGTGAGCGCATATATGGAGGCATTTTTTCGTGTGTGCTACACCTTCTCCACCCCTTGGATCACTCCTTGCAGGATAAAGTTGAATTTCACTCCAATGAAGACATGCTGCAATACATCAAAAATTTGAAGACAGTCATAGAGATCCTCATGCGCATAACTCAGAAAAACGTAAAAAAAAAAAAAAAAAATGAAACAAACAAATGGACGCATGTATAGCTGGATAAGCAAAGGAACAACCGAACAAACGCATTAATGGGAACAACATGTGACAACCTCTAAGAACATGTTACCTGGAAGAAGGAAATATAAACACACACAGTACACCTTTGTCATGCCGAACCTGACCCACATCCATTTTTTTTTTTCCCCCCCCCCCCGCATGGACAGAGAGAAAATGGAAACATCAGCAGATCCTACAAAGTAACGTAGCAACACAAGACTTATGTACGAAAATTAAAATTTAAAAAATTTTTAAAATATGACCACTTGTCATTTTTTTCCTTTGTTCTATAGTCTTTGGAGTTTTTAGAAATTATCAACCTGTACAAGAACGTCGACTTTCATAAAAACATGTGCAGGTAAAGGGGAAAAAAAAAAAAAAAAAAAAAAAAAGCGTAACCACGCAATGCATAGAGAATCATTATGCCCGCTTGAGCATTGTTATATATCTGTGCCCACGTAATGGGCATTTTCTTGTCTCTTTTTTTTGAACTTTATTTCGCAGAGTTGATGACACCTTGGACCTTGAAAATTCGATGAAGCTCGGTACTGTCTCTAACTCGGATGTGCTTGTAGAATCTTCACCCTACTGAATCGCGTCGGGTGTTCTGTGTGCACTCGGTCCTCATGGAGCTAGAAATATGCACACATGTATTGGTACCTTCCCCCCCTTTTTTTTTTTTTATTTTTTTTGCCTTTCTCCAATCTGCTTTATTTTTAACAGAATCCAAAATTCTCGCAAAAGGGAAACACGTGTGATTTGCACAAGATCGAAATGCAGAGAAGGCAAAAAAACTGAAGATAAACTTCCACTTCACCCATCCACATAATTCTGTGCTTCCAGCTTGTAGGAATGTTGCACGGTGCTCTCTCCAGCTATGTCTTGTTACATATGTGTCCATGACTGCATGTGTTTTTTTTTTTTTTTTTTTTTTTTTTTTTTTTTTTTCTGCAACTGCGTAACTGTGCGCATTGCGCACACTTGTACATACTACATCGACTGCTATACTTCCTGACGGCATGCCGCACCACGATGAATATCCATCATTGCACAGCTTATATTCTAAACTCCACATGACTGTAGGTGGTGCAGTATCTGTACACTGTGCGCACGCTAGTATTTTTGGGTCTCTTCACCTCGACTCTTTCAATACGCTTTCCCGAAGCCGTTACCCCAATAACGGTAAAAGAGACATACACTGGAAAAGAGAAGTCAGGATAAGCGCACGCTTGTATATTGGACCACTTAGACGAACGGGTAGGAAAAATACGTACTGGGTTTACAACACTACAGGCATTATTTGTGCTTCTCAGGATATTGCAATCTCTGGCAGTGTGCCCATGGTAGCAGCAATTGCCAATGCCATTCTTTTTGGAGGTATCCGGAAGGCCATTGATGCGCTCATTATTATTGTATCTTATAAACTTCTCGTAATAATACATGTGACTACGATATGCTCCATCAGGATTGGGTTTTATGAACAAAGTCACCTCAGCCGATAAATCAATTTCAGAATTTTCTACTCTATCGATGCACCACATAATAGAATTCATGTCCTCAGTGTAACCTATGTTTCCAACTGTACAAACTACATTAAGATATCTTATGAAATTATACACTGGGATTTTAACAGAAATATTTTCATATCCATTTATCTTCATATCTCTACCATTGCCTCTTTTTATATCATTCAAAATTAGTTGTACCTTGATCTTGTACTTGTACTCATTAGGTATATAACTAACAACTCCCTTAACCTTTATTGGTAATAACTGCTGCTCATTATGTCGTACACAGGGCAACGTATGTCGCATTACTCTCGATCGTCTTTGCTGTCTATTCGGCAGGCCATTTCTATTTTGATTCTCTACCATATGGACAGTGTTGGCGGTAGGTTCAAATCTGACCACATTGTTATTACTTGTTTGTGCAGGCTCTTCTCGAATTGGTCTGTCTTCAACTGCTCTTTGTTCAACTGCTCTTTGTTCAACTGCACTTTGTTCAACTGCTCTTTGTTCAACTGCTCTTTGTTCAACTGCTCTTTGTTCAACTGCTCTTTGTTCAACTGCACTTTGTTCAACTGCTCTTTGTTCAACTGCTCTTTCTTCAGTTGCTCTTTCTTCAGTTGGTCTTTCCTCAAGTGGTCTACAGTGTTCCTCCACATAATTCTTAAACAGTATTTCTGGTGTGGAAAGTTCTAGCGTTTCATATTCTCGTTCGTCTTCCCTTTTATCATCCTCTTGAGCTACTTCGCCATTTTCCTGTTCCACCTCCCTGTTTCGTTCTTCCATGTGGTTATCCATTGTGGCCGGAGCACTCTTTGTGGAGTGGGCATTTGTTAAAAACAGCACATTGGTTAGCTCCGGAGCGGTCGATACAGCACTGAGTGCACTTCTAGATTGTACTCTTCTGCTCTTATGTCTCAAGGGGAAATAATAAAGGTACTGCATAACGATATAGCGCTCATTCAACGGTACAAAATAGAAAGCATTCTTTTCCTTGTTCTGATTAAGTAGCGTCTTTTTAACCATCATGTTATAATTAGCAGTGTAATGGAGGTGGGTCGAACGAAGTTTTATTTTTCTGTTAAAGGACATTCTAACTAATGGAGAACCATTAACTGAGCAATGCACATGAACGTTCCCCTGAATTGCAAAGTAAACGATTCTGTTCTTCTTAGTCAACACGCAATTTACATTCTCTCTTATTTCTACACACATGTGGTTATGCAAATTGCAAACATTATTTGCTCTCCAAAAGACATTTCTGTTATCCCGGCAGTGAATTGCTGTTCCGTTGCTGTAGGTGTGGTTAATAATAGCACCATTAGACACAGTCGCTCCTGTGATAGTATTCTTTAGTGAAAGCAAATTGGAAATATTGTTCGCAACTGGTGTGTACTTCAATGTTTCATTCAACAGACCAGAATCACTGTCCACCATTTGTTTCAAAATTTCATCAACAAGCACATTTGGCTTTCCTCCTTGTGCTAATATTTCATTTATAAGAAACATCACAACAGAATAATTATTCGTTATTATATTGGGGCATAACTTTTCTATTTTAAAATATTTTTTAAAAAGTTCCATGATCTCATGAATCACTTCAATTGTCATCACTGGATTGTCCTCATCCTTCTTTAAAATGATAAAGAACACAGTATCCTTCTTAATCACGAAAATAAATTTTCCATCAAAAGCCCTTCGAATTATACTCTCATCATCACTACAGCTGATTACAGCGCAATTCGAGCTGTCCACTACAGTGGTTCCCAATATTACACCTTTAATTTCTTTGTGAGTCAAATCAACATTTACGTCATTTACAAACACCTGTTCCACCAACTTCTTGCCGCTATCGCTGTATATGTAGAAGGCGTCCATTTTTCTTTTTTTTTTTTTTTGTTCTTCCAAGTTAGGGATTCTGCTTGGTGTGCAGTTGGGTGATATAGTTTGGCGTATCGGACAAGAGGCCTCTACTTCGCAAAGCGTCTCTGTCACTTGTTAAAACTTGAGCCGCTTCTTCCTCTTCTGAGGGTCTATACACGTTCGATCGAACTGGTATATACCCTTTACTGTTCTCTCCGATTCGGGAGAAATACTTCTAACGGGGTCGTTCAGAAGACTACCGTGTGTGCGGTGCAATGCAAAGTATCACAATGCAATGTGTTACAATGCAATGTGTCACACTGCACACAAACGACAAAGTGCCTAGACTACGCGACGTCCTCGTGTTCACCGCTTTATATCTCGGCTTCACGTGGCACAAAAATATATATACATAAAAATACACTACTCGGCTTGTGCAAATGACTTGTAGGGGACACCCTATATGTCACTATGTCGGAGGAGTTGTGTTCGCTAATCGCGGGTAGGCAACTCTCTCGGTGGACGGAAACTGCAATATAATATCAACGAAAACATGCAAACGTACTACAAAAAAAAAAAAAATAAAAAAATAAAAAAAAATAAGGGGCGGGTGGGGTTGTTGGAGATACACAATGGTGGACGCGAACACGCGAAATGCTCCTCTAAAACACACGGAGCTTTTGAGAAAAACACAAAACAGAGTGATGCAAAGGAAAAATAGCTTACAATACTACAATAATGTGGAAGAAAGGGCGTAAAGGAGACGAAAAAAATCAACTGCAATGACCAAAATGGGGGGAAGGTCAAGAGAAAAAAATGTGATGAAACAAAAAAAAGGGAATAGTGTGCTACGAAAAGGAATAAAATGGAAAAAATGGCAAAAATGGTAAAAAATGGTAAAAAATGGTAACAAATTGTGAAAAATGGCCAAAATGGCCAAAAATGGAAAAAATGGTAAAAAATGGCAAAAGTGGCCCAAATGGCCAAAATGTAAAAAAATACGCACGCAAAAATAAAGGGAAAACAAAAAAAAAAAAATATATAGATGTGGAACAAGCTCGCGGAGAAAAGTAAAAAATCAGCTTTTCATTTAGCGGGAACTTTTTAAACGCGAGGAGGAAAAAATAGCTGCGTGGAAAAAATATATGCACAATTGAAATACACTCTAAATGTTTAAGTAAATGTGTCGTGAGAGTAGTAACAACAAAGCAGAAGAAAAAAGCACTTAATTTTTTTTTCCCACTTTTGCGCATGCACTTTGCGGGGGTTGGGGTTGGGTTGGGTGTGGAATATGTAACACGTATGTAAGACTATGCAGAGTTGCACTTCTTCCGCGACTTCGGCCTGCTAATTGCTACTTCAACCTTATGGTTCTTCGTGCTTTGCTTATGCTTGGGGGTGGTGTGAACCTTTGACTGCTGTATACCTTCTGGTGGTGGTGTAATACCTGAGCTGCTAGTATAACTATGCTTTGCTGCTTTACTTCTGATTTGCAGAGCTTAAGTTCGAACAAAACTGACTAATATGCCTTAACTTTTAACTTGTGTTTTTTTTTTTTTTTTTCTTTTTTTTATACCCCGCAATACTACTTTGGGGTTATAACTTAAACGATTTCGTGGCTAAGTCGAAGGAAAACTTTTTTACACTTTTTTTTTTTTTTTTTTTTCTTAAGCCTTTCAAGTGTTTATATGTTTTTTTTTAAATTCTGCAGAACTTATAAATGCTGAAGAGAGTTTCTTTTTCCTGTTATGTGTTTCTTTGGTTTGGCTGAATTTTTTCTTTTTGGCCTTAAAACTGTAAGCCCGACCTTTGGGTTTTTAATGGCGTGGTTTTCTTGTATTTCCAGAATTTGTGAAATATGTGATTTGCGAGATTTTACAATTTGTAAACATTTACAATTTGTGGAAGTTTTGGAAAATGTTATGTTTGAAGAGTTTTTTTTAAATTTTTTACATTTGTTGAAGTTGAAATTAAGATTGTGTTTTTTTTTTTTTAAAGAGATAAAAAATAAAATTTATTTTGTGTTTTATTTTTTTCATAAAATATATTTTTTGAAAATAAAAACAATTCATTTTTAAATTTATTTTTCATTAAAATTTTTAAAAATTTGAAACAAAATTCACGGGACGATTTTTCGTAGTTTTCCTTTTTTAAAAAATTATAACAAGGAGCCAAAATAAATCGGCGTACACATTTTCAACAGCTAGCTGAAGAACACTTGCATGTGCAAACAGGAGAGCCCTTCTTCAACCAGTTTGCTTCAACGGAGACACACATTTAGAGTTCTCCTGAGTTCCCGGGGCTAACATTACGGGGCGGTTTCGTAGCTAGCTGTCACATGCTGCCATCTGGGGGCATGCACAAAAAGACGTACAGTTCAAAGAAGTACCCACCAAAGACGTAGCGCCTGAAGACATGCATCCCAAGGAACTACAAGCCCGGAGACACATATAGCCAAAAACAGCTCAACTGTAAAGGCATACGTATCCTACAGAGCCACGCCTGCGCACCTACATGCGTATTTATGCTACGTGCATGTGCATATTGCTACGCATAAGCCCCGTGCAGTCGGTTTATGGCACCACATGCACATATCAGTAGAGGCTCACCTAACGCCCCGTTCCGTCGCTCTCGCAAGGAAATTGCTTCTTGCATTTTCTTAAAAATTCCCGCCGCCTCCTGCTATAGCCCCGGTGTGTTATGCTTATGCATGCAGAAGCATTGTGGAGAGTTAAAAAAAAAAAAAATAATATCGCGGTTTCCGGGACACATGGGAAAGCGTTCATATGATAGCATCGCACGTGGAAAAATAACGGGGCCATTATATGGGGCCATTTATATGTAAGCTAAAAGGATCGAATTTAACACCCTCGTGTGCTCTCCTGCGACGTCACACCTTGCGGCGTGGTTTCCTCACGTGCTCTCTAGTTTTGCGGAGCGCTGCTGAGGAGCGCTGTGGAGCCATTTGTCAAACCTCTAGCTTTGGCCCCGTGTCGCCTATGCATGGGTGTATGCGCAGTAGTATTTACGTATGGGTGTATTTCCTTTGCCCCGTGGGCATAACTACCTTAGGTGCTTCTAAGTGCGAATGATTACCTCCCTCCCTTTGCGTGTATCCAATACGGGAGTGACAGCAGTGCGCTGTTAAAAAAAAAAAAAAAAAGGCGCATCATACCTGCGGAAGAAGGGCCCCACCTTATAAAGATTACCCCTTGACGAAATTGACCCTTGTAGAGGTTTGCTGTGTATACACATAGAGCGCAAATCGCCCACCGCGCCGCATCGCGAAGAACATCCCCCTGAACCGTAAATGAAAACATAGCAAGTAGATAGAATGAAAGAGAAAACGGACGATGGAAGAAACATATTTTATGATAATGAAGAGTACGAAAAAATTAAGAAAAAAACCCTGTTCAAAATTCTCCTCTCTGTGTTCATCAAGACCCTATTTGAATCCTTTCTACAGCCCCTACTCCCATTTTATATATTAAACTATTACGACATCCAAGTCAAGGAGCTGGGAATTTTATTAAGCTTTTATTCGCTCGCTCAATGTGTAATGTGTTTGATTATAGGTTTCTTTTCTTCCATCAACAAGAAGCATTTACTTGTATTTTTAATTCTGTTAAACCTTATTGGTATGTACCTATTCTATGTAAAATTGAATTTCCCTTTATTAATTATTAACAGAATTATTTGTGGTAGTAGCTCAGTCTTTATCGTTGTAGTTAATGCCATAATCAACGACCTGGTTGACACAGATGTGTGCATTTATTACACATACATAAATATATTTAATGCTATTGGAATAATCCTGGGCCCCTTATTATCTTCCTTCTTTTTAACTATATTTAATTTTGAAATTATATTAAATTTTAACACACTTGGATTAATTGCTTCTCTTCTAATTGTGTTGACAATTTCGAGTGAGTTACTAACGCAAAATAAGGACAACCTAAAAAAAACCATCCTCGAAGATTCTAATTTGATAACCTTAAATATTAACACCCATGAACAGAAAAAAAAAAACCCACAAAAAAATCTACCATGCAAAGATGCAAAAAATGCTCTATACGTAAATGATCTGGTCGAGTCAGAATTTAAAAGTAATCGTTCACACAGTGGGAGGTACAAACACGAAACGTCCAGCTACAAAAGAGGAGCCAATTCTGCCAGTGGCCATTATGCAAGTGGAAAATTCCTAGGTGGAAATTCGGCAGGTGAATATTCTGTAAATAGCTACCTGCTGAATAAGAAAAAAAAACATCATGGGGAAAATTACAAGAGGAAATTTTTCAATTACGACAATGACGAATTTTCTGAATTATCATATCAACAATTTTTGAAGAGACGGGACTACTTTTACATTAACAGGCTGACCCTCTACGTGAAGGAAAAGATACGTGCTCTTTCTCACATGACTCTGTCCTACAAGTTCAAATGCCTCCTTTCCATTTGCATGCTTAGATTTACTTCAGCCTTTTCCTCCAACTTGATGAGCAACATTTTTTTTGTATTCTACAATGACAACGTTTCCTCCGGTTAGTCCACACACCAGTGCTGTGTTGTTTTATTTGCGTGGAAAGCACAAGAGGGAAAGACACATATACACGTCCACATCGCGTATATTTATTCGCTAATTACCCCCTTTTTTTTCCCCCCCCTTTTAACAGACAACAAGCAGATACAAATCAGCGTCTTTGTTTCCCTGAGCGGAATTATCATGATCTTCTACCAGTACTTTTCCTTTTCCTATATTTTGAAAATGTTTGGATACAATGGTACGAAGGGAGAATCATCTCCACATCTGCCCGCGTCATGGGTCATCTCCTTTAGTGGGATGATAAATTGGGGAAGGACAATTTGTCAGACGCATATCCAGCACAAGTGCCACATCGCTGCTACACCTCAACCACCCATCACACCTTCCTTCCCTTTTCCCCGCACTACAGGCACGGCTATTATAGGATTACTCATACAGAGCACAGGAATCTTGCTGACTTACCACAGCATTAAATATTATAACCTACTTTTTCAATACATCAGCATTTGCTTCATCCATTCATGCTCCTATGCCTACATAGAGCCCATCATACCAACCATCATCTCTTTATTTTTTTCCAAAAAGGATCAACTGTTTTCACAAAGCATTGTTTCCTTCTTCAGATATTTATCCCTCACCATTTCGCCCATCGTTTATAGCTACTACTACATCGAAAATCAGCTTTCCCCTTTTTTCATTTCTTCCTGCGTGTCCATTATATCCATTTTTTTTGTGCATCTCTCCTTTAAGTACCACAAGAGGATGAATGCTTCCCTTATGTCTAATTAAGTTGTCGCCGCTGCATGGAAGCCGTGAGCGGCAGTGCTACAAGTCGGTGAATACGCAACACCTCTTTGCGTGCATTTTACTCTCTGTCTCTGCGTGCCTTTTTTTTTTTTTTTTTCATTTACTTGGCTTCGTTTATCATTTGTCTCCTTCGGGGAGTGCCCGGCTGGCACCCCAAAAATTACCCCTCTTCCCCCCCCCCCCTTTTTTTTTTTTTGCGCGTTCCATTTTGCTAAGCTAGCAAATTGGCGCACAATAAATATGTCTGCAAAATGCACGCATAAAAAAAAAAAAAAAAAACTACTCCCCAACAACGTACACATGTTTTGTTTATTCTAAATTGTGCACAAGCACCAACAGAACTTAACCCCAATTAAATCCCCGCGAAATTTTTTCTTTTATCCTATGTTAGCCCATTTGGTCTATCGCCACGTATGTACACATACCCCCATTGCGAGACAGTTCACACAGTTCAGTCTGCTTCCCATTGTATGGTTACGCCATAGGGCAAATTTAAAATTGGATAACGTTACGAATACTGGCGTGTGCATGACAACAGCACAAGCGGTGCTACCTGCTTCGCAAATATATATCACCTGGATGATCGAAAAAATGAAACGTAACTGACCATAATGAAACAGACAGACACCGCATGAATACCCACTTTTACAACGTTCCCACCTACGGTTCAGAATGCTCCTCGCAAAGGTTGGCGGCCGCGCTTTAATTTTTCTCCCATGCACATATTAGCATATACATCATGCAGAACAACTACTTCCTCCTAGTTTAACCCTGTTCGTCGTCGCATAGGTGTCAGTATCGCAGTGCCCGCTTAATTCTCCCCTTTTCTTTCACCCTTTTCTTTTGCCCATGGTTGTTACCCTTTTTTGTTGGCCCTCTTTGAGGTTATGTTTTTTGTTCAATATTTTCCCCACCACTTCTGCTTCCCTTTCGATTCCCTGCTGTGATTCGAACTTGTTCCTTCCGCAGCTCCATTTGGGAAGAACTCCTCCTGCCATGCGCCTTGGAGGCCTCCTTCTTCAAGGATCTGAATAAAAGCAACCCTTTCACAGTTTCCACGTTCACACAGCTAAGAGGCAACAAATTTATTCCCCATGACCATATATACCCTCATGTATTCACTCAAATATACACACATGTAGGTGGACTCTGTTGACGCGCCGCAACCCCCCCTCCTGCTGTCAATTGAGAACTACGTATTCGTAAAAGAGAAAAACTTCGAGGCACATTCCCTCCACAACACACAAACATAAAGAGAACAAAATGCATTTCGGCATTAAGGACATCAATAGAAACACCCAGAAAAATTATTCTAGTATGACCAGTGAGGAGAAACTTAACTTGAGGAAGCGAATCATACAAGATGCCCTAACCTTTGCGTACAACTTTTCCTATTCCAATTATTCCACTTATCAGTATTTCTCCCCTATGTATGCTACCAGCACGGTGAGTTGTGATACACACAAAAAAACACACACATACAAGAGGGGAACAAACACATCCCCGTGGTTATGCTTTCAGCTGTACCCATGTAGACATTACATTTATGCCAACTGGTGGCATTTTTGCCTAGCTTGGCTCGAACCCATCTGACTACACCACCCCACTACAAAGGAGGAGCTAAAGAACCTGGAAATTTTCATCAAAGAAATAAAGCTGGACAATGGCAAAAAGGATGAAATGATCAAACTAGCTAGACAAAGGATCCCACCCTATTATTTCCCTTTCAGTAACAGTTAGGACAGAAGAAGTAACCTGCCATGCTGGGCTGCTTTCTTAGCCGCTTCATCAGCCGCCTCATCAGCCGCGTCGTTATAGATAACGCCAGTCGCTCACGAAGGGGACACATACTCCCCCACACTGAAACTCTGAACCCTAAACCCACGTTACATCTCCACCCCCATACACTTCTTACCCACAAAGTGTACAGCGAAGGAGAACTCAAGTACTTCGAGAACTGCATCGTTCCCTATGTCAACAAGCAAGAAGAAGTTAAGCAAATGCAGAAGTATCTCTTCGACGTGTATCAAAACTACGTTGTTTATAATGTAAGGTGAAAAAATGAACCATATGGATGAGCGAATTGGCCTGGATGATCCTACCCAAACGTGAAACAACCCGCCACTACGTAAACGCATCCCCCTATCCTCACATAATGTGAACGTATGCATATAATCACCCACATTCCACTCTTTTCCTTCCCCCCCACAAGAATATTTACGAATTGTGGGCACAGGAGCTAGAGTCATTAAACAAATTGATCCTGTTTGATGCGTATAGAAACAAAGTTAAGGTAAAGAAATGAAAGGGTACAATTGCCGTAGTGGCATAAACACATGCCTTCGCCTGCGCTTGTATAGGGTTCATACGAACACATGCGCATACACGCGAATACAAACACTTCCATACGTTCACCTATACGTATGTACTAGATCAAATGGGTATGCACATATATCTCCCCCATGCCACAATCTTCAGCACCAGGGAGACCAAGTGCAGGCAGAAAACCAGGAAAAAATACACAAGAACAAAATTGAAAAAATCAAGAGGAGGATTCGAATGCACATCTACAAGGATGGCGAAGTGCCCCAGGTGAGACGAGCGAAAAGGGGGGGAAGTAGCCTCAGCATAGGCACAGGCATGTTCACTCGCACGTCGAAGTGTACAAACAAATACACATGTGTGCCCAAGCACACACTCACCCACGCGCGGCAAAAACACCTGCTATCTTCCCAATCCTTCCTACAGGAATCCACGCAGAACTCGCAGGAAGGTATTATGCAGGCGGAAGGAACAAAAAAGGCAAATATCAATTTTGACGACTGGTTGTGATTTTACCACTCTGTCTGGGCCTTACCTTTTTACACATATGCAACCTGACCTTTTACGCTGTGATTGAACCGGGAAGAAGCTTCCTGCTTTTTCACCCCCTGACGTGGGCGCAGGGTGCAGTTTCAACAAAAAAAGGGGCTGCACACAACTGTTGCGCGAGCAACTACTGGCCGTAGAACAGCTGGCCACAAAGTTACCGGGCATACGTGCCATCGAGCACGCGGTTGCCAGAAAAGGTGCAAAAAAAAAAATTTTGCCAAACTCAAATGTTAAAAAAAGACATTAAACAGATTCACACAGTTATCGCTGGAAGAAAATATGCTGAGGCACGTGGAACAAATCAAACTGGTGTGCTTCATTTTCTCCATGTTTGTCAACTGAATTTTGTTCATCTTTCTTATAAACATTTTCTCTTCCTGTGTCTCCTTATTTCCTGAGCATATACAGCAGGCAAAAAAACTCTTATACATGTTCCCGCACTTGTTCATGTAGTTCGCGGCGAGATCTGTTTCAATATCCCTGTCCCTGTGTAACTTTTCTGGGATAACTTTTAGATCGCCTTTTTTTCCTCCATCTTGGGTATTCACATTAGTGAGGATGCAGTCGTCCTCTTGATTCCTTTCTCCAAGGGTATATTGCGTAGCACTTGTCAGGGCGGCCATGTTGGCCTGATTCCCCACGTTCATCCAATTGGCTATGTTTACCAAATTGCCAGTCGTGTTGTTAATTATAGAGGATGTGTTATTCTTCGAATCCAGAGAAGAGAGCATTTCATTTATGGTCTTATAGACGATATTCCCATCAAAGGATGTGTTCCGTAAGTAGGCAATATTTTTATAATAGCAGTAAATGTATATTTCTTTATTTAGGAGATCCCTCAAGGGTTTAATAAAATTTATATTCTTATATCTGTTATCTATGTACGCTGTGCATATGGGTAGATTTAGACCGTTCCCCAATATGGTATACAGAAATGATTTGTTGGAGATGTTATTTGCGTTATTTCCAAAGAGGACATAATTTATGTTCTCGTCTATGCTGTACTTTAAAATGGCATTGTATATAATTAGCTCGTTTATGTAATTTAGATAATAACTTTTTTCCTTTTTCACCAAGTCGTACTGAACTAGAAATTCCCTTTTAAAATGTTCATTCACAAAATAATTGCTTTTTAACACTGTGAAGTGTACTTTGTTTATTTTTTTCTTAAACACCCCATTAAGGAACACTATCTTGTTATACCCTTCTGGGGGCGACGATTCGTCATGTTTGTAACTGTGCTGTGTTTCCTCCCCGTGTTCTTCAGATTTGCTGTCCGCGTGCTTAGCTGACTCGTCCACCGCCTCATCGTTGTTCCCCACCTTCGAATCGCCGCTCTCATCAAAACGGCGAAATATCTCCTCGATGGCTCCTATCAAACTCAGAATATAATTTTCATCTTGAAAAATGTCTACGAATATTATTTCACTAAAAACACAATACTCGTTTGTGAGCAACAAATCATTGTTCTTATTTTTAACGTTTTTCAAATATTGTACAAACAGAAAGAGTACAAAAGACGAGCAAATTTCCCCGGAGAACGCGATAGCTGTTTTCTTCTTTTCCGATTGCTTACTCAATGTGGTCACATTTTTTCCCTTCCTTCCTGTCCCGTCCGAGTACATTCCATTATTCAACCCGTTACAACAGCTCCTTCCCGCAATGTGTGCATTTTCGCAGGGTGCATATTCCCCTTGTGCAACAGGTTTATTACACTTTTCTTCCTGCATATCTTCCCTTTTATCATTTTTCTGCACTAGATGTCTTGCAAGTTCAAAATTATGACCCCCCTTGTTTTTAAACAGACATTTTTCCCTTAACGTATTCTTAAATGTATATTCGACCAGTTGTAAAAAGCAATCCCTGCACGATTTCTCCCTTGTGCAAACTACAGCATTGTTCTTTTTGCACTTATAGCACAGCACACAATTTTCCTTCATGTTGTTCCATGAGAATGTTTCTCCAGTAATTATTCCCCTCAGCAGGGATTGTAAAAAAATGTCACAAACAATCTTATCTTCACAATACAGAGCGCTATTCTTCGTTATACCACCACTTTCATGCTTTTAACAAAAAATCACAAAAAAAATTTTCACTCCATAATTTGGTTAGCCAAAGTTGGTGATAAGTTTTCTGTACAAATGAGCTAGCCGTTGTGGCTATTTTTTTTTTTTTTTTTCTCTCAAAATATGGTGCTTTAAGAAAATCAAAATATAACATTCTGTTGTATATTTTATGCTAAAACACAATCTGCAATGGCAACTATGACGAAATTATTGTATATTTTTTAAATCGTTTTAATTATAATTCTATTATGTGATAATGCTATTTTGATTAAAAAAAGAAGTAACATATTTGCTCATATGTCATTTATATTGTTAAGCAGGTGTACATTTTTGAATAACACGGGTTTTGCATGAACTGTTCATATTTTTCCGGTGTAAGATCTTTGCAGGTGCGTATTTTCAATTTTTTCTGCAACATAGTTGTATAAACAAAATGGGGAATATCATTATTACTTTAAATGAAAAAGAAGAAAATGCAGTGGTCGAATGTGCCCTGTGAGGAGATACATAATCGCTGTGAGCGGAATCAGAGACACCTCCTCTTCGTGTATTTCTTATGCATATAATTTTTATTAATATGCATGCGTATATGTAATATGTATATACAACCTGCATGTGGCACACATGCTATACCCATTCAGGGCGCACGTATGCCGTATTTTACCCGTCTCTCATGCAACAACTTTTTCCTGCGAATGCCAAATTGATAAAATTGCCCCATGTTGGGATAAAATTCATGTATCACCCCGTTTCTATCATTTTAATGGAGTAAAAAAGAATATAAGTTACTGAATGAGTCAAATTAGGCCATAACAACATGCACGCGAGTGTATTTGTATACATTGGTATACACATGTACAACTTACGGCGTCGCGCCTACTAGCAATTCCGCTGTTATAACGCCCTGGACATAGCTAACCGTTAAAATATGATGAAATGACATTTTTGAAAATGTCTCAAATAATTTATGCTCAATTTTTTGAACTTTTAAAAAAGGGAAAAGTCGTGGACAATCAGTCCCCCCAAATTAATTGGCATACATAGCAGGAATATACATATGTCATATACACATGCGTGTAATATGTACAATATGAAATAGTACATGTGCACGTGTGGTAAATGCGTTGGCGGCTATTTTAATATCTGCGCACATGCAATATACACACGTACGTACACATATGTTGCATGCCCCTGCGCAGGTGGGCTTTTCAAATTTGGGAAAACAAAAATATTTTAATATTTTATCATCTATTGCTCAAATTCTTTTGTTATTTTTAATTTTTAAATATAGTTATTTTTTGTTACATATACTTTTTTTTTTTTTTTTTTTTTTTTTCCTTTTGTAGTATACATGTAAAATATTTTAAATGTTCAAATTGCAACATAAAAAAATGAAAGGCAGAACAACTGTTTTCAGAAAAAAAAAAAAAAAGTCACATACAGGTACAACACATATACAACAAGTGTTTTATACATATGTACATATTATGTATATGTGCGTATACGTGTGCGTTTTGTATGTATGTACGTACATATGTTATATATAATTTTTATAATGTAATAGGATAACACATAAAATACACAAATGAGTATTTAAAAACTGCGCGATATGATTTAAAGAAACATGGTGGTATATTACTTACATCCTCATTTATAAAAATGTCGAACAGTAGGATATGAACCATTAAAATATTCCTTCTTTCGTAAATCTCCTTCTCTCGTCTTTAATTAAAAAAAAAGTGTACATATGTTTAATATGTGTATTAAATATACATATGGCTGCTAACGTTGAGACGCATACCCCGTGTTAGTCGTATGCCTCGTCGTCACTGTCTTTCTTTGCGTGCGATTCACCCTCCTTTTTGGAGTCTCCGCCCATGTCATCGTCGTCGTCATCTTCATCATCCTCATCATCGTCCTCATCCTCATCGTCTTCATCATCGTCATCGTCGTCGTCATCATCATCCATATCATCAAAATCCTCATCATCGTCGTCATCATCATCGTCATCCTCATCATCATCATCGTCATCGTCATCGTCCTCATCGTCATCCTCATCATCATCTTCATCATCCTCGTCATCGTCGTCGTCATCGTCATCATCATCCTCATCATCGTCGTCGTCGTCATCGTCGTCATCGTCATCATCATCGTCCTCATCATCGTCATCCTCATCATCATCATCATCGTCGTCATCGTCATCATCGTCATTTTCACTCGTATCGACTTCGAATTTTTTTAAATTTTCCTCATCATCTTCTTCGTCTTCATCATTAATTTTATCGATGTCATTATCTTTGTTCTTTTTTTCCTTTTTTTTTTTTTTCTCCTTTTTCAATAATTCATTCTTCTTGTCTCCAGTTACATCATCCAGACTTTCCTCAATGTCTTCAACAGCATCAGCTGGGTTACCTTTTTTGCTAACCATGTTTTTTTTTTCTTTTTTATTATCGTCAGTAGTATTCAATGCTCTTTTCTTGGGTGGCGAATCCACCATTTTACATTTTAAAAACAAAGTACACTAAGGGTACTTGTTTTGGCCAGTTCGACGGAGATCACAGGATACTCTCGTGGAGGGAATAATGATGCAGCTTTGTAAAAATAATGCCTATCTTCAATGGTACATATAAAATATGAATGTATACCTCTCGCCTTATACTGTACGTGCTTGTACGTTATACTCGTATGCATATACTCTCGGTACGCAATTATACATACAGGTTTATATACATAACGTATGTACTATATATGTATATCTCCTTCCGCTTTATTCTTCTTTTTGTTGGTACAGTTTTTCTGTTATTTTTTTTTAAAATAAAGAAAAAACCAAGGTATAACAAAATATATACGCAATAATTTAACAATTTTTAAAGGTCAAAAAATTAAAATCAAATGAAATTCGTAGAAATGAAGAATTATAAAAAGAAAAATATATATATATATATATATAAAATATATATAAAAGTAAA